CATGTTTCATGTTATAAATACATTTGATTTGCCCATATATGGGTGTAGTATCACATCATTATGCTCAAATGTTCAAATCACAGATATTCGTGACAGAAAAGTAGTGCAGACAGACATACTATATGCTATAGCAGTACTTGAATTATGTTACATTGTACTTTCCAATCATTATTTATAATTCATGAATTGATAAGGTGGTATATCAGATTATGTTTATATAATGAAAACAGCAAAATGTTTTGAAATGTTTAGTGGAAATACCTATCCCTATATTATGTTGGGTGAGATAAAAAAAAAAAAAAAAAAAAAAAATAGGCCTACCTTACTGGTACTGTATCTGTCTAATTGTCTTTTAAGCTATTTAGTGTCCTCTGCAGTTTAGGCCTTCCAAATGAGCTCCATAGTAGATTTAAGCATATTTTTATCCAAAATTGATTTCTATTTTTACAATGAAGAGCCATCAACTGTGATGTAACACATTTTAATTCAGAGAAATGTGCGTCGGTTTTTTATGAGACATATGGTTGAAAAGATAGAAATGATTCCAGGACATTCTGAAGAGCACTTCAGAACACCCTCCTACCATATTCAAACAATAGTGGTGTATTTACCAAGTATTCGAACTGCCACACTTATGAAATTTAATCTGTATCCCGTGCATTGACATAAGGCACTGTTTGTGTGCCGGATTACTAGGATTCCGAAGTTGCCTCTTTCCTTTTTCTTCAGGATTTATCAAAGTATTTCATATTTTGTTTGATAGTTATCATCTGATCTACTCACAAAGAATGGGCAAAGGAACAGATTAATAACTTGAGACAACACTAAGTTTGCAGTAGTGTAGGCCCCTATTAACAGTAATTGGCAAAGTCATCTACAAAATGAATCATCACAGTATTTGTATTGACTGGAACATGTGGGGTGGCGTCACAGCTTTGGGCTTCAAATTGAAAGATCCTGGTTCGAATCTGAGGTTGTCCACTTTGTTATGTCCTTGGCAGCATGCTGGGATATTTTACACTAGGTTAGCCCCATACCTCTACTGTTACATTTGAGTTTGTATACCAGTATTTAAAAAATGGCATAATTTTTGGAGGTTACATGAAATAGTGGTAAGCTTTGGAGGTTTACATATAAAACCAATTCTCACTAAGAAATAACATTTGAAATTACTTTACAAAACGATATATTAACTTTATCTGAATACTATGTATTTGAATGCTGACCCAGCAACCTACAGTACATTCAAATTTGAACATGCTCATTTCAAGGAACGTACCCTAAAACAATGCTCACACGATTACTTGGAGCTCAATGAAACATAATGTATGTGACGTTTGAGGTTATTGAAAACTAGGTGCATGCTTCGTTCAGGAAAACTTATAAAAACAATGATAGAATTGGAGAAGGCATATCAAATTGAAAGCACTTTAGATAGATTTATAAAGCTGTTCTTTTAAATTGATACACACCATTTGAATAGGATAGAAAATCAACACATGAAATTGGAGGGAAAAGAAATTGAGGATTGTTAGTGTGGTTTTTTTTTTTAATCAATGTGATTCATAGATTGCTTGAGGGATAGAGAAATTATTAAAAATTAATACAATTTTCAGCACAAGTTATTGAAAAAAAAGTTATTGAGTTGTGTAATCAGTAAGAAATATTGAATTTGTTTTTATTGGGAGTTTTTTGTGCATCTTATTTGTATGGAAGGTTTTTGTCTGTTATAAATTGATTTGGAATTTAATAAAAATACATTGCCATGCATAATTTATGGTGAACCGATCCACATTTTAAACATAAGAAATTATGGTCGTAATGTAAGTGATACATTACGCTGTTACCCATTCCCGAAGATGATGACGGAAAGATCAAAACCAGAAATGTACAGATAGTCTATTATTATTTAATAAAATATCATTAATATAATATTATTAATATATTATTATTAATATAGTATTATTAATATAATGTTATTAATATGGATTTTTCAGTTGTTTCTAAAACTTTTATTAGCTTTTCGTTGAAGATAAAATCAAACGTGAATTAAATTAGCATAGGCCTCACTGCATTCTGACTATTACTATATGGCTTTTTTACCATATACAGTACTACCTCCCTTGTCATGATCATCTATTCACTGCTTCTACGCTGCGGTAAAGCAATCAGTAACATCATGTTTGAGGTCAATACAGAATATAAGTTAATTACAGTAGTCCTTACCTAGAATGCAGCTATGCTAATCCATCAAGCACATCCATCAATGGACGACAATTTCCAACAAGATAAAATAATATAATCACGTCGACTTGATTTCTTGTATTTATTTTTTGTGAAGTGTTTCCTGCACGACCAAGATACAACATCACTTAGAATTCTGCCCTCTTTATACCTTATGACCAGCAATATTGCGAATTAATGATTATTAAATCATATAAGTCTGAACTATTTATTGCACGCACAAGTTGTCCTTAAGAATTCCATCAACTCTGAATTCAGGATGTGTGAATGGAAATAGAATGTAATTACAACATTTTAATAAAAAAACTCCAAAAGCTATAAACATGCTTATAAAAGGTCTGAAGACCTTTATATTAAAAAGAGAAAACAACATGGAATTCTCATTGGTTTGATTTTTTATGGCTTTTTAGCTGATATCTGCCTGTGTTGCGGTAATATATATAAAAATAAAATAAAAATTATTTGAATCGCTTACTTGGCATGTTACTACTAAGTATTTAGGTTTAAATTCTTGGTGAGTATTTTTCTGGCCTATTCTACTTACCTATTCCATAATCTAGTTCCATGTCCTAGTATTATGGTAGGCCTGATCTCCCTATTAGCCCTCTTGCTTAGTTTCTATACAGTACTAGTTCTCCTGATTGACTCCTCTAGTCTTATAGTAATGTAGTCTTGTTCTAATTTATCTCTGGCTTATCCCTTTTTCCTAATACCCAATCTATCCTTTCCTAGTTCTGTCCTGATTTGTCTGGACTACTGTAGTCGTATTTTCTAGTTCCCATAGTTCCCTGGCCTAGTTCTCCTGACCAGCTTTCTGTCATAGTCCTATCATAACATCTCTTTGCCAAGTTATACGTCTTAGTTCATGTGTCCTAGTCCTTTCTGCATCTCTCTGGCCTACTATAGATTCCTTTAGTACAGTAGTTCCCTATCTACTGTAGTTATTGTGATTAATCTCTCTGACCTAGTTTCACTGACCTTCTCCCACTGTTATAGTCCAATCCTAACATCTCTGGCCAGGCCTTGTGCCCCAGTTCACATAATAGTTCCTTTGACTAGTCTGGTCCTAATCTGTCTGACCTAATGTACTAGTCCTCTGCCTTAGTTTCCGACCTAGTCTCTGTGACCTAGTTCTTATACCTATTTCTCCGACCTAGTCTTCTGGTCATTCCTATTCTACAGTAACATCACAGGCCTACAGTAGATCCTCAATAGGGAGCTTCCGATTTGTGTGAAGACACGACGCTAGAAAGGAATCAGTCATGCGTGACCGTCCTGCCTTGCGTCCTACGTTCTCTGCATACATAGATTTGGCCAACTTGTGTTTCAGAATCTACTCGACGAGGTGACCTTAGCATTCTTGCGTGCGCAAGTGCCGTCATTACGTTCTACGTCCTATCGTCGTCGTGCAGTGAAAAGCTCCCTAATATTCTATGTGACAATCTTTCCTGGATCTAGTCCTCTATCCTAGTTCACAACCTTGTTCCCCCAGTCCTGAACTATATCTCTGGCTTACAGTATTCCTGTGCTTTAAGCTTCATGTCTCAAACAGAAAACATTCACTGAATAGATGCACAGACCCCTGCACCCCCTGTGTTTATGGACAAAATATAAAATTTTTCTGTTGGAAGGTATTTTAAAATTCTGACCATGCCATATGTCACCACTGTTTTTATCTCACTTGTGGAACCAGTGTTCTTCTATGCTGTACCACCATCTTATTTTTAAATAAATTGAGTCCAGAATTTGAATAAAAATTAATGTGTTGAAATGTGGATTGTGATGGAGAAAAACAAACAATTAAGATGGTTAAAGGAATATTCTCTAAATTGTGTTCCAAACTAAATTGCTTCCATATTGGGTATTATTAATGAAGATTGCACAGGTAGATGTGAGTTGTTATTAATTTGCCTCTCCCACATTCTTTCAAAGGTGGCTAAGAATAGCAGAAGCAGAAGAAATAGATGATATACCATATTACGTATATCACCTGAATGCGTAATTGCTCAAATGCTTATTAGGAGGCTTACATGTTGAAGAAGGGTTTATCAATTGCTATGGGCTTAAACAGAAGCATGTACTCAAGTTCACAGTTAGCTTTTTCTCTGGAGCTCAATAGGAAAAAAGAAATGTGGAAAGAGATCCCTTTCACCCCCATCATTTACCACACACAGCATATTTTAATTAGAATTAACAGTTTTTTGTTCATTTTCTATTAAATAAAACAGTTATATAAAGTAATTACATGACAATATAATACTTGAATTAGCAAAAGCTAAATAAATATGAGTTGTACAGAGGTTAAAAATATTGTTTGAAGATGGAATTAATGTGAAATCAAGCCTATCTAATCTAGGGCACAGAGCTTTTTAGATTTTGTGGCATAACTCTCTTCACATCCTATAAGTGTGGTTAATTGAAATCCTAGTCAGTGATGCAACATGGATGGGATGGCATACCAAGTCCAATCTTCCGCTATTGTGGTTTGTGATACTTCCCAGTTTTTTTGTGATTTCATTAATTCTCCTTAAGATGACCTTAGCATAGATTTGTTCAAATTGTCCAGATGAAGCTAAGTCTGCATTATCATTACCTAGTTACCACCAGTTTTTCTTGGACAAAAACAAAAAATAATCACTATGTTTTAACTTTAATTTTTACTCTTGTTTTTTCCCCAAATTATTTAATTTGTAATTTTTTTGTATATAAAATAAAATTTTTTTTCTTGTTTTTTACAAAAAAAAATTTAAATCTAGGCCGATCTGACATTACTACATCAAGATGTGATAGGTCACGGTTATGATGTCAGCTATGCCATCAAGTAAGTGATTGACAAAAGTTTTCTGTTAAATAGGCCATTGGTGGCTCATTAACTACTTGGTGCATAGTACTTGTACCACATGTAAAAGTTTGACAAGATTTCCCGATGAAGAAAATAGTTACATAATCAGACTGGGGTCATAAGATGAGATTGTATCTTTGCTCATGGTGGCAATCCAGAGGAAGGGTGTGGGTGTGAGTGTGGAGTGTGGTATTAGTGATGGAGGTTGAAGCTTGGGTAAAATATTATCAACAATCTTATTATACTGATGAAATAAATAGATATCTGGATTTATTAGCATTTATTAGCATTTAAGAAAGAAATTTATTGAGGATCCTGGTTGATTTATTACCGCATAGAGACAGTTCTATATTATGCGCCTTATAATCCATTGATGGATTGATTTTGCTGGTCAGTTGTCGATACTTGTTTGCCAGTGAAAACTACTGTGGAACTTCGGATATAGTTTTGTGGTTCACAATTGGTGAAGATATCGTGGGAAACAACACAGCTGACCGTGTGTGAGGTCTTGTTTGTGTTTTGCATGATTTGTGAATGGTCACTTGCTTTTAACGAAGCATGGAGTACTCATTGGAGTGACCAAATTAAATATGACATTTCCACCTCAATTTCTTGCTTGATACCTATTGAGTGCATCCTTCTTGAATTAAACTTTTACCTCAAAAATGTCTATGATGTACAGTTCATGGAACTTCAAGTAAAGTGTACTGTATCAAAGAAATTAAAGCCAAATTCAAATACCACTATGCTACCACTGGCATTGCTAATAGTGCAGCTAATGCTACTAATACTATTACTATTATAGGCCCATAAGCAGGAATCTCGTAAGTGGGAGGTTGGGCATTTACCTACTGTACAAGTGCTAGGTTCCAGGAAAAAAGAACCTACTGTAGGCCCCTGGTGAAGATCTGGAGAAGAGCTCCATTGGTGGTCATAAGCCAAATCCCTGTGGAGCTACAGCATTTTGATGTAATATGCAAATATTAAATTTCATCATCATTTTACTGGATGTTAATGCAAGGCAGGGAGTATTTTTTTTTTCTTTTATCATAGGGGGTTTGCTTGTAAAGGGGAAAACCATGAAACTACTTCAGATTTACTAATTACTACTACAGTACAACTTCCACTGCTACTTCTATCTACTAGACTACTGCTAAACACGGTGCTAATTACTACAGACTACATAATTGTATCGTAGTCTTGTGCGATATTTATATTTGCTACTAATGTACTGTATTTGCTTGTTAAATTAATAATTAAATTGCTTTACCAATACAATTGTTATGCATTAAGGAACCGAAAATTGAGTTTATTACACATATGTAGGCTAGGTCACAGATTGTTTAGCGCTGTCAGTTGTTGTTTATGATTTAAATTCATAAAGGTAATACACATTTAAAACCGTTTCCCTGTTACTCATTGGTTGTTGACAACTTGATCCTGTCAATTCAACCTTATTTCCCGACTTTACTTCAATTGGCAAGTCAGACTTGTGACAGATTACTATTGATGATGATGAAGATCTTGATGATGATGATAATGATGATGAGCATAGGCTGGGGGGGGGGGGGAGTACGAAAACCAGCCTATGCCCTTGGGGATGATGATGATATTGATGATGGGTGTATGCTGGGTAGTTTTATTTGTTTTTTTTTTGTTTTTATTTGGTATCATAACAGGTGTACAGTGAATATTTATACACATCTAGATGTGTATAAGAGACAGGTTATGATGTCAGCTATGCCATCAAGTAAGTGATTGACAAAAGTTTTCTGTTAAATAGGCCATTGGTGGCTCATTAACTACTTGGTGCATAGTACTTGTACCACATGTAAAAGTTTGACAAGATTTCCCGATGAAGAAAATAGTTACATAATCAGACTGGGGTCATAAGATGAGATTGTATCTTTGCTCATGGTGGCAATCCAGAGGAAGGGTGTGGGTGTGAGTGTGGAGTGTGGTATTAGTGATGGAGGTTGAAGCTTGGGTAAAATATTATCAACAATCTTATTATACTGATGAAATAAATAGATATCTGGATTTATTAGCATTTATTAGCAATGTACTATTGATATATTTGATTGTTATAATGATTGTGAGGATGTGATGACAATTATAAATAACGATGCAACTATTATTTTTATTGGTGATGATAATGGAAGGATAATGCGGAGCAAAGTGTTGAGCAGTATGGAGTATGAGTTTCTCTGGGTTTTCAATATCACTGACCCAATGTACAGTAGTAATATTCACAATGTATTATGATACTTTGTCTTACTTTAAGTGTCTGTTGCATTGAGGCATGCAAAAAACATTGCCACTGTCAAGGGTAGAACATGATTTATTTCAAATTTTGGTAATCCTTGGCCCCTTGTGCAACATAATAAATCAAATAATGATAGGTGATGAAGATAATGATCATAAACTATGGAGATTAAAAGTAAAATAATGGATAATAAAGATTAAAATGATTAAAGTTATGCAATTGATAGAAGATCATAAATTCACTCCTTCTAATTAAGACTAGAATATCAGGCTAATTAAATTTAAAAAAGAACAAAGAAGACTTTCGTTTTTAGCTCATCATACATTACTTAAAATTTATAGATTTCTGAAAGTTTTGGATAGTTAAACAGTGTACTGTTTGGAGTTTTATCAATGAACTGTATGATTGCCTTGTCTATTGCAAGTGTACTATAGGATATAAACAGAAGTTGAAAGCAGACGTGGCTTTACACCAGCTGGAATTCCGGTTCTTTAAGCCACTGTCTGACAAACCAAGTCCCTCTCCGTTAGACCACGACTTGTTTGACCAAAACAATTTTTGGCTATAGTATGTGATAAGCCATCACAAAACAGCTTAAAATGGGCCAAAATTTTCTAAATACCAGGAACTCGGCCACTTGGGCCCCACCAAGGCTTCACTTCTAAACCTTATTCGTCTCTATCAGAAATTGACAGACCCCTGTGGTGGGAGAGCTTATCCCCACCCTCAAATTAAGTAAATCTTTGCCAAGCCTCGGGGCTCATACTGTAGGGCTGGAGCTCCACAGTTTCAGTAGTGTTAAACTGATGAGAGTGTGATACTTCCCCTGGGTGGGACGCTAGTCCACTGAACAAACCACAAATGAAATGCTTATATATTGCAAGTGTACAGTATGTCTTTCTGAAAGTTCTTAATTTAACTCTCAGAAATTGTAAATTAATTCATTCAAACCTGAAATGACAGCACTTTTCCATTGTTTACCCTTGTGTTTTTGAATTATTCTTCTCCACCTAATAGCATTGATACATTCTTATTGTTGTAGCTAGGCTCTGCATCAACCTTTAGAAATCTCTGGATGGAGTGTGCAGGAAAGAGGGACATCTTATACTCGGACCTGTGAGCGTTGAAGCAAAATTAGTGTGGCCCTACGCAAATGTTATGCCTGTTTTCCATCAGTGCATGTCAATGAAAGATCTGATTTTGAAAGTTGTGAACTGGAGACAGATGCCTGTATTCATTACTTCTATTTTCCTCTTATGGGAATCAGTTCTGGCAACTTGCTAGGCATCATCAGAATTTCCGAAAAGTATCAGATATTATTTGTGTCAAATTTTGTAAGATGTATACAAAGTATCTCTTTAAAAAAACAAACTGTTTTTTCAAGTCCTTAAACCATTGATGTATTTTTAAAAAGCATTTCCCAGTTTGTGAATTTACTAGCCTAAAATTCTTTGAAAGATGAAATCAGGTTGAAATGACATATCTAGGATTTATATTGGGTTCTTGCCCTCAGAAATAAAGTGAATGCTCAATAAAATTTGCCTTCTGAATACATTATTTCATGATATTATTTATATTCTTTAAAGCCAAGGGGTGTATAAGTAGCACCCAAACACCCCTAAAATGTCGCTGGGGAAAACACCTTCTGGTATAACGCTTGCCTCCCACAGCCTTGAGCATATTAGGAGAGAATTTATAGACCCCCTGCAATACATCAGGTTCATGTTCTGACTAGCCTAAACTATTTTTAATTGAAGAAATGGGGACAGTATTCATTACCCCTGTTGTACCGGCCAATAAGATTAATGTCGGAGTTCCATAGAATAGAAAAACCACAGCTCATAATTTCTCGCATTCTTCATAATTTGGAGAGCTTGCCGCGCTCGCTGATGGCTGCCAATAACATCACACGTACTTTTTATTCCAGATCTGTATTTTGACTTAACAAATTCAAATACATTATTTGATTGCTTTGACATTGAATGTGAATTCAACACATTTACTGTGAATCATAAATCTCTTACTTCTCATGGATACATTGTAATTGCTGGCTACTTTTCCAGCTTATTACCTTTCTTGTGAATTTTGATTTACTTTTTCTAGGTGTTACATCAAATTGACACTTATCAGACAGGCTGTCTGCCCTCGAATGCACTTTTACAACTGGTTTCGTTTAATTTCTTTCCCCCCCCCCCACTAAATTGTCCCGATGGTTTTCGCACCCATTGGGTTACCCCCTATTGGTACATGTAATTTAAAAGCAATATAATTTTTGTTGTAAAATGTAGTTCTGGGTGGAGTTCAAGGCTCTATAAATTTAGGTACCTCCCATGGGTAAACGCTTTGTGCTGAAAATCAATGATCCTATTGGCTGCGTGGTGTGCGGAAATAACACTTTGGTGGAAAAGTATGGGTTTGGCGTCGCAGAACCGGGTGAACGTGTCAAATGTGATCAGATCATGACCTCTTTTCGGGTGAATATAAGTCAAGTGTCTTCTTTCATTTATTAAAAAAAATTTATAATGTTCAGAAAATGGCATTATTCGTTTTTTTTAGGTACTATTTTAAACAAATCTAGGGGATACATAGATTGTATACAGGATGTGTGTAGAATATAATAGTGGGTCTTTAACCTTTCCCTTCAAAACAATTTAGTTTACTCTTCGAGTTCCCCCAGGCCACCATGTGGCTTTGCTATTTTTTTTCTGTTACAAGAATTTATAATGATAATGTATTGATGTGAACTCCGGAATATATTCATACATATTTAATTATCATGGCGCCTGTCCCGTTCAATATGATAATCACCATATGGAATGCAATTTAAACTATAATCCTATTTCAACTTTTAATCACTCCATGTTTAATCTCCTCTCCCATCACATGGGATAATCACGAAATAAATTTAAACACTAAATCAATCAATCAATAGTTAAATGGTACATGAAATCCTTTTCCTGTCTCTTATACACATCTAGATGTGTATAAGAGACAGGTATGTGATAAGCCATCACAAAACACCTTAAAAGCATATATTTTATTTTAAAAAACCAAATGTTCGGGAGCGCCTGCTCCCCTCTTCAGGGTTACAATGTATATATATATATATATATATATATATACATTCTCACACTAACATTGTGAAATTACCAAATAATACTATACGCCCAATTGTTCAACTGCATGTACAGAATATAAAATTTGATCCCTTTTCTCATACAATAATCAGCATGTTATAATAATAAGAACTCAAAATGGGGACTGATTCTGTACCTCAAATCTCCTCTTGCTCTGTACCATCTTATAGCATCTTGTTAAATCTTACCCATAATGTAAAGTGAAAAATATTGATTTGTGCACACAACAGTATACTTAAGATTGTCTTCAAAATTCACAGACTTTAAAACAACTCTGAACGGTTCTCAAATTGTATTACTATAAATCAGATAAGTCTTGTTGATCTGTCAGATGTCGGTATGTCATACAAGTTCAGAAGCAGGTCTATTGAAAATATCTCCCTACTTCGTCTAATCACACCTGATTCACACTGATCATAAGTCCTTTTCAGACAATCAAAATTGTATTTTGACAAATCATGTGACATGCCTAAATATGGTCATGATGACATCACACCATGACCATTATAAGGACTCATGACTATATATGGGCATACAACAGTTTTTTGTTTATCAGATAAGTCTGGATAAAGCTATAGATCTGATAACTTATTCATATTAAGATTCACCATGGTAATGAACAGAGTTATGAAAATGCTAACAACAAAGGATTCGGTGACAACATTCATTGTCATGTCATGTATCGTTATACAAATAACACTGCAGCTCCAACACTGTGGAATTCACTCCTTACACGCATTATCATTGTTCTTTTTATTTTTTTGGCTTGATTTTAGAAACTGCTCTAACATTAAATTTTCCCACCATTAACATACACAGCGCCATTCCGGTCTGCCCAACCCACCCCCACCTAAATTTTTCAAAATAAAAAAAAAAAAAATGGAGAAAAAACGAAAATTATATTCAAATCTTAAATCTGAGAGTGCCATTTCCGGCCATCTAGGTGCTATAGTCATAAATTTACTTAACTTAGCCCCAACCATGGTGGGGCTGAGGTGGTATAGACCCTCCATCTGTAAAAGTCCCTTCCTGGGCCCTCTCTATTTCAAATTCTGGGATCTGCCACTGAAACGTATATCAAACCACTTGATTGCCATACAAAATTATCTTTTCTAAAACAATTTGCTTTGAAACACTCATCACTTCTCATATCATTCTTGATCTCGTTCATAACATTACTTCCTTCTTGCTTGTTTATGTTTTAATATACTTGATAATATAATCTTAATCCTTTATTTCAATAAATACTAACTTTACTTTTCTATTCAATCCTAAACTTTCCCTCGTTCTTTTTTTACAATTTTTTGTTTGATGTGAAAAACGCTCATTACTCTTTATTTAAATAAAAATTTAAGTTCAAGGTGGAAGACATTCGTAGGTATTCCTTAGGGAGATGGTGCGTTTTGAAAACATAATTTTTTTGTGGATCGCGTGCAGCACGCTAATCCACAACTCTTTAAAATTAAATCGGGCATCGCAAAACGATCTAACAGTCGTCAATTTCGATCAGACCCCTGCTCGGATTGAAACACTAATGATCGAAATTTACTAGTTAATGTACTAATTTTTTCCACCATTAACTTGCACAGTGCCATTCTGCCCCCCCCCCCTTCCTCCTTAATTGTTCAGAATTTTTTTTTTAAATGAAGTAAAAACGAAAATTATATTCAATTTTTAAATCTGTAAGTGCCATTTCCGGCCAACTAGGTACCATAATCATAAATTGACAGTTTACCTCGGCCCCATGGTGGGGCCGAGGTGGTATAGACGCTCCATTTGTGAAAGTCTTTCCTGAGCACTCTCTATTTCAAATTCCTGAATCTGCCACTAAAACATGTACACTTGATTGCCGCATAAAATTATCTTTTCTAAAACAATTTGTTTGAAACACTCATCTGTATAGCTTACACCACATCTCATACCATTTTTGATCTCGTTCATAACATTACTTCATTCTTGTTTGTTTGTTTTACTTGATATTGATAATCTTAAACTTCTATTTCAAGAAATACTAACTTAGAAATTTCCTATGCAATCCTAAACTTTCCCTTGTTATTTTTTTACAATTTTTTGTTTGATGTAAAAAACACTCATTACTCTTTCCTTAAATCAAATTTAAGTTCAAGGTAGATGAAATTCAAAGGTATTCCTTAGGGAAATTGTGCGTGCCGAAAACATTTATTTTTCGTTGATTACTTGCAGCACGCTAACCCACAACTCTTTAAAATTAAATCGGGCATCGCGAAAACGATCTAACAGTCGTCAGTTTCGATCAGCCCCCTGTTCGGTTTGAAACTCTGAATGTCTTTTCTTAACAATCGATCTTTGTGCATTTAACGCTAATGATCGAGATGTACTAGTTAATGTTAGAGAATCTTACCGCTGGAAAACTTGTTCCATATGTTGAAAAATGAAGACTGATATAAAATGAATGCAAGTTTGCGATTCTAAATGCGGAACAGTTGTTCCATTCTGTTCTTTGAATCTTTGAAACATTGCGTTTATGTGATGATTGAATGATATGTCCTGAGGACAGATGAGAAATATCAACAGAGAACTCTTCTCAATCTGTTGAGAAGCTTGAAGGTGGTGGTGAAAATGAATAAGATTGAGTTGAAAGATACTGATAATTATGGTATAATGATGATAAATGATATGGTAATATTAAAGAATATAGGCCAAGAATTTTTTCCCATTTTTTTTTTTATTACAAAACTTTATATCTTTTGAACAATCATTAGAGGAAAGGAGTTATTAAATATTAATTTTTTTTTCTCATAATTTTGGAAACTAAAATATATAATTTTATTGATGAATAGAAAAATTCTATCCTATTGTTATAACTTTTGTTACCAATTTATCCACTGTTTCCATCTGTGTTTCCGAAAGTGGTGAGATACAAGTTGGGCGGTCTTGCTTTTAAAGCATGGATAGTACTGAGTTCAGATGATTTTGTCAGTCCGGCTCAACGCCATCCGGCAATGTACTAGTTCTGCGGTGACTCAGGGTCACTTGCAAGTTTCTAGAACCAGGGTGGAATATTTCCAGACAAGTCACCTTGGAGCTACAATATTAAATTCACTCAATGAAAATTCAAGGAATTTCTGTTTTCACTGGGTACATGAACCCTGAATAACTAATGATATTAATGATAATGATCATGGATTTTTTTTTTATTTGTTTATCTTCAGTGCCGTAGAAGCTATGCATGGAAGCCAGAAGCCATTTAGCAATATTGAGGCCCTCTTGAGATCATCAATTCATCATAAACAACAACTTGATGAACGATCGGCTGCACTTAGGTAAATTATCACCATTATTTATATGTTTTAAATTTTTTTCTGTTTCAAAGGAGCAATTATATCAATCAATCAATCAATCACTGAAGTATCTGTATAGCATTAATATCCACGGCAGAAACAATGTTCAATGACGTTAAAGCATTATTCAATGTAAACGTAATTAGATTGTACACTACTCTTGGTACATTACAGACGATTAAAAGTTATAAAAAAAAGGTTTTGTGACAATAATCACAACAGCCAATGCTAAATAATAAATCTGAGTGGAACTGTAGCTTGGTAGGTGGTAAAAATGCCTGCAAATCCGAGGGTTGCAGTTCAAATCATGTCAAGTCATGATGGCTTCTCACTACCACAAACAACTGCACTTTCAAACCCCCATAGTGTATGTAGAACATATTGTGTGTATGTTTGTCTTGTGAAAGATATTGCCACTTCACAGTGATTAAGTTTGCTATTTGTATATCCTTGGCCCCTGTGCCTAACAATTTAATAAAAACAAATAATGATAATGATGTTGATCAAATTACAAAATTGATAATTGAAAAGTGTGGGCTAACATGTCATTAAGAGAGTGGCAAGGATTGGCCATTATTAGCAGAAGGGCCAAGGTTGAGAGATGAGTTAAAATGCATGGTAAGAATTATTAGCTTCCCGAATAATTTACTAACAAATAATATAATATATGGAAAGACATATACATTTTATGAAGCGGAAAAAACAACTTTCAATCTACCTTGAAGAAAATTTAAAGAAGTATTGAAATTAAAATATAGAAACTGGCTAGGATGCCTGCTGCATTTGGTTGTCAATTTTAGTTACCCATTATTTTGTGCACAGCACAATTCATTCTTTGTTTATCTGTGTTCTACAAGATACAATTCCTTCATTGTGGTAAGATTAGTGTTATTATTTTTAGCAATGAATGCGTCTTAATATCTTGTGCGGAGGTGCACTTTCATGAGACAACCAAACGCAGGCGTACTTTTTAACTAGGGGAGTGACGTATTTAGAAATGGGATTGTGCCCTCTTTACTTCCGACATTGATTATACTTCATAATTGCTGAAATATTAGTAGTACTACTGTATCATCAATTATGATCAAAGTTTATAGCACTTTATCTATGTTTGTCTCTCTTTCTACCCAGGAGTATAAATGGGTAGGCCTACCTGGTAGGATGTTGTGGCATAGAATGTACTAGTTTTGTGCGCTAAATAAGTAGCACTCGACTAGGTATACACCCCAGGGAGCAGAGATGGTTATACTTTGTGCTGGTTTGCCATTGTATGTTATATAGTGACCAGGGGTAATAAAGCTCACCGCCTTTGATCATTCGTTGAATGAAATTGGCACTATATAAATATTTGGGTATTATTTATTTCATTTCAAACAAATACAACATATACATATAAAAACATTAGGATAGGCAGACAAATGTAACATTCTGAAATTTATCCTAATTAAGGAAAACCAACATATTTTTTTTCAACCACAAAGGTAATTTATTCAAAACATTGTACATATGTAACAATATATGCCTTTAGAATGTATTTTCCACAAGTAAATAAATGCAGTTTAATAAGAAGCTAATTCAAATACATTTCCTTTTATAAGCCATTTAAAAAAAGATTTATAATTTAAAAAAGATTTATACTTTTTTTTTAGACAAATTGGATAAAACCAACATGATAAGATTCAAATATTTAAAAATAATAATCACAGTAATGAAACTTGTTGCCCCAAAAAAATAATTATGGTTATTATTACTATTATTGAATAATATTTTTGTTAATTATTGATATAATAATTTTAATTATAATTCTTATGTATTTTAATGTAGGGCACACCGAAAATGATGACATACCATCAAAGATCATAGTGACACTTAAATATGATAAGAATTTTCCTTATAATTATTGATAAAAACAGCACTTCCTGAAAATTTTTTTTTATTGTAATATGTTTTAAAAATCTTTTTTTTTTGTTAGAGAACAATCAAAGACAGAAAAAAAGCCAAGTTCAGGTACCAGTCCACAAAGACAACTTTTGTCAGGTAATGTATACAATCTGAGTGTCTACTAATATCATAGCTTGCCCTTGTCAATACCAATACCATGTCTTGCCTAAAATAACAATACCATATGCCTGCCTACTATACCAGTACCCTTGCCTTGCATCTGTTTGCCTACCAACACCATTGCCAACACCAGCACTACAGCCAATGCCCATACCATACCATTATACTTACTGTTGATAAAGTTGGTGTATTTGTTTATTTAATATGTTGAATTTTTTTTTCATTATTTGTGTAGCCACATAGTTGATGACTCATCTGAAAGTATATCTATAAGAATGATGTATGAATTACAGTTTCTTATCTCTTCTGGCTGCATCAATTTGACATTCAATACAGCATTCCAACATCTTCAATGTCAAAACCAGTCATGTGATCAAATAAGCGGTATTTATGATAGCAGACAGGAAACATGAACAGGACATGTTGTTTAAAATCATTTAATATTGAAATTCAGTTTTGCTGGCATTTTTTTAACCAATACAAGGACATGTTATCAACAACGATAATTAGAATATTTTGCAGACAATGAAGTATACGTTTTTCTAGTTAAAAAGCAGGTCACATTGCTGCTGTCACTTACTTTTATCTGAAGCTTGGTGCACTCTATCAAGTTTTCATCCACAGATATATGATATTTACCCATATATAGACATGATGTTGTCATATCCTACCTACTATATATGGGTATATATCACATGTATTTGTACTATAAACTTCATAGTGTGCATAGTTGTTTTAAACTAGTCATTGACTGTCAAATTAGTTTCTGTGTATATGAAAAAGCTTGGTTTCTATACAATTGCTACATGCTATCACGACCGACAGCTTTCGGTGATGCTGATTTGTCGGATGAATTACGGAGCCTTCCCAATTGCGACAGGGCCTGCTATGCAGTACAACGATTGCGCTGAAAACGCAGCAACAATAGTGTAGCGATTTCAAGGAAACATGGCTTAACTTACAATCTAAAACAATTTAAATATATTTTTAGTTCCAAGTCTGTTAGCTCAAAACTGATGGTATCATTAACATAATTATAAACATTTTGATGAAAATTGGGTGCTAACCTTCTTAATGAAGTTTCAGAAATCTGTAGTTTTTACTTGTTGAGAGTTGGGAGAACAAAGACCTAATTATATGGTAATTAATTAAAGGTTTTATGCACATAATATCAACATTGTTTTCACAAAATTGGTCACACTTTTGTGGACTCACATTGGTGAACTTAGGAATTACTTCAGATGATCTTCACTGCAAAGGTTAAAGTTAGTGTTGAGAGTCTTCAAAATTATGTCTTTAAAGTGAGCTTTAAAGTTGCATTTGTGGCTGTTTTTTTATGTTGTTATTTTCAGTACTCCCTCAGGGCTGTGGGTTATTTTACGTCTTCTTCCAATTTATCTTAATATTGAAAAAAATAAATGGACCACCTCTGTCAGAGATGAAGAAGTGATTATATGGAAGAACGGAATTTATTTCTTTGTTTCACTCCAATTTAGAAGTCGGTATATTTTTACTCCAATTTCACACAGATGTAGCTGACGTTCTGCCTCAAATGATTTTCAGGCAGTTACTAGTGAACTGCTTATGTTGGTTTATTCTTCCAAAAGTATTGTGACTTTGTACAGCTTGGCTGACTTGTGCACCTGTTTTAGACTAGTGTTACGGGTGAGACTAGCGGGGCCTTTGGGAGATGCTTGATTGATGGCAAATTCCCTGTCAGTTGACTTCATCTCAGGCTGTCATCCCATCCCGCCTTACTTGTTCTGAAGGTATACAATGTGTCTGTAAGTTCATTGCCAATTTGTCATTCATCCTCTTGTGTGAAGAGCCTAGGCCAGGTGCTTCCTACTCTCTTAGCTGACTCTGTGATTGGTTTGATGTAGCAGTCATGTTCAATTATCAAGTAAATGTATGCAGAATTCGAGAGACAATTGTTGATCTATGTTTATGAGTCGAGCTGGGTTTCAGCTTTCTGTTGAATTATACCTGATGGGGATTCACCCTCTCTTTAGTGGTTACATCTGTTGGGTATGGATTGGGCTGTCCAGAGTAACTCTAGTACTTTGACTTTGCACAACCAAATTAAATGTACAGTGATACAATTTGCTTCCAGTTGGATATCTTGTTTTCATTATAAGTGTTATTGTGACTGACATGTGGTTGTCTTATATTGCCTATGTAGACATTGTTGTTACTCTTAATATTACTTGCTATTGTTACTATAATTACTGTCACTATTTGCTATTGCATTACTATTACAATTAATGTACTACCAAATTTACTAATAGCACCATCACTGTAACTATATCCATAATACTATTAACATATACTATTAATAGTCCTAATACTGTTACTTACTTTTTTTTAAAATTATATTACCTTTGCTATTACTATAAATATTCTATTCTATGCTGGTGTTCACCATTGTATGTTCAGCATCTGAAAGAGTGCTTTGGTCGATGGGACGTCACCCAGTGCTCATTTAGTGTTTTATATATATATATTGGTTTGGTGTAGCAGTCATGTTCAATTATAAAGTAAATGTACAGGAATTCGGGAGAAAATTGATAATCTATGTTTATGTATTACAATTGTGATAACTGATTAATTTATGTTTTTATATACCGTTATGGTGACAGTTACGCCATGGTACAACATTTCTTTATATTTGTTCATTTAATTTAATTTCTAGTTCAAAAACATGTAGATAAAAGGTCAGACTACCTTGTGAATTGCAAAAGGTTCATTGCACTATTGTGTAGCTCTCCTATGCTGCAGACCTTGACAAAATACTCAAATATATGATACAATGAATTGCCAATTATTACCTGAAAAACATTCACAAAATCCAAAAATATCTTTGTCGCAAAACATTACTGTTGGGAAGTATCAAGGATAGCCCCATGTCTTAACCTGAACACAGCAGTAACAAAAGTCATGAAAGGAAATTATCTAAAATATTGTTGCCCATTCGACGGAAAAAAATGTACGAATAGACAAAAGAAATAAACAGGAAACACAACTAATCCATATTTATTTAAAATCCAGCCTTTTAAAAGATTAATATTTATAGAAAGCTATATAAATTAATTTTACAGTACCTTAATTTTTCATGTTTATTAAGTTGTTTTTGTTTATTAACAAATAATTAATTTATTTTTGGGATCTTTTTATAAGCTATCTTTAATTTATTTTTTGTTGAACTAGACACTAACACAACAAACTTGATATAGTGCGATGCGTACGATCATGCAAACCAATGTGATATATGCATCAAAAAGTCTGTAACACTGCAAGTTATCCATTTACAAAATGGTAATCAGGAATTCCCGGAGGGTTTGTTAGCTAAAGGGTGATTCAGTGACCACTGCCCTACAGATATTAAAATTATGATTCCCCCAGGAAAAAATGACCAAACTTTAAATCATTATAAGCGTTCCCAACAAAATGATTTGCAGTTCTGTAGCACGGTAAACTAGCAATGTTGATTAAAAATTGGGCAGAATAGATGTGCCGAGGGATTGATTTGAGAGAGCATACGGCATGCAAGACAGCGTGATATTAAATCGTTGTTGGTCAGCAAGGTCTTTGGTGACAGATTCTGCTAGGGGTGATAAGCACAGATGGTCAAGATGGTAGGCTTCAGCTGTTTGCCATTACAGGATTCAATCAGTTGGCAGTAAGGCCATGAAGGGGGAAGGAAGTTCAGTTTTAGCCTCAAGTCCACCTATGTACTAACTGTACAGTGAACTTTTGGCCAACTGCAAATATATATATTGAATTGATAATTAAAACAATTATTTATTGTGTTGTTTATTTATGTTTATTTCAACAAATATTTTTGAGAGTGATCCATCCACTAAATTATTATTATTGTCATTGATAGGTTAATTCATCTAAAAATATAATTAATTAGTTTGATGTTGAGTTAAACACATTTGAATTGTTAAGCCTCACCAATTAATTACATAAATATTACTTTCCCTATTTTTTTTTTTACATATACTGTACTCTTGAATTACCTAGGAGTAAGTTCAAGGATGTTTGTAGTAAAATGTGTAAATCTCATTGGACATAAATTTAGTTGATCATGTTCAACAGTTAAAAATATATATTTTTTTTAATATAAAAAGATCTCATTTACAAAAAAAATGCATGTTATATAAACATTTCAAACAGCATAATATAATTAAAAACTACCTCTACTTCAATAGAATACCAGAGCCCCAAGAAATACAGTAGGATGTTCATATAATAATGCTTCTGTGACTTATAATGTTTTAATGGCCGTTGGTTGATATTTTGTACATTGTAATTTTTATAGTTATATTGGATCATTCTTTTAATTTTTTTACTGAATTTTAATGCGAGAACTGAATTTCCGACTTGGAGCAATAAAGTGTATCTTATCTTATCTTATCTTATCTTATTTTATATATTGAATGGTTTTAAATCTGTGCCCTATACGTTATTCATCGAGATATACTTAGCATGTTTAAAAAATTAGCTTGATATAGTGGGTTTTTGGGCTACTTTTAAACTCATAACCCATCCATGCAGTTTGTCTTGGCAATTCACATGAATAACTGTAGTACAAGATACAGATTGTAACTGCCCCTATACCTATAAAAACTTTTAAATAACAAACAAAAAATTTTAAACTTTTCTACAGTATATTGTCATGAGATCACTTTTTAGTCTTTATAATTTATAATTTTATTTTTATTTGTACAGTATATGTATTTCAATTTGATTTTTTTTCCTTAATTTCCTTTGTATCTCCTTGCAAAAATGGCTATGTGAAAAACACTATTATGTTGATACATTATTTTCTGTTTTGAAATAACATTATTATTATTATTATTGTTGAATTTTTATTTCTTTCTATGACAGGTCTAGTCATAGTATAATATTTTGTAGGCTTACTTTTGGTAGACTGTTCATTTCTGTCTTTAGTTTATGACACAATGAAGGGTATCCCATCATTCCCCCAAACCGATTTATTCTTAAACCTACAGGAGAGATGATAGTAAAGTGTCTACACAAAAACTGCTAGTGCAAAGCCATAACTTTTGCTGCTAAACACAATTAGACCAAATTTCACAATGCTGAATAAGATAGATATTTTTGTAATTTTCTATTGATACCTGAACTACGTAACTATTGAATCATTTGTGATTTAGTGAAGGAATGTAGTGTGGTAAAGTTTGTGCACTTCAAATTAAGTCTGTGCTGAATTTAAAAAGACAACAATTAATTGTTTGCGACATACTATTGGAATGTAATGATGGTGAGATTTGTTATGGTGTATTAAACCAAAATCTCTGAGCTTAATACCAAGTTAAGAAGTCAGCAGGTAATAATAAACAATAGTAAACAGGGTGGTGGAAAATATAATCTGTCTTTAAAACTATGAATTAATTTGCCTACTGCCAAAGAAACTAAATTGATCTCAGAAACAGGAATACGGTAGTTGGTTCTATCATTCAGTAATCACCAAATAGCATTTTATAACTAATTTCATTCATACAACATGGTGTTTCAGAGGCATCAAGGCCGTTCTCTCCCCCCCCCCCACCACCTCCTTTCTTCAGTTTATTCATAGTTTGTCCACCGGACAAATGTAGTGATGATATGATCCATGTCATTATCAGCTAATATCAATATTAACAGTTTTATGTGATATATAGAATGGTAATTGTAATGTATGGAATTTTGGATGCACTCAAAGAATTGGAGATTGACTTGATGTTGTATAAACAAAGTGAAATATGTTGGCCTTTCATGGGTGATTTAAAGAAGGCATTTGATGCTGTCAATCATGATATCTCTATTAAAAGTGGTTTTTTTTCTTTTAAATCCCACATGTCATAGCAATGAAGTGTCAACTTTTATTTCAGTGAATTACACACAAATACATGATTAGAACAGCATTTTATACATTGTGAAAATTACACAAAAATACAGCCATGTTGGATGAGAGCCACAAATTGAAGCTTTAAACTATATATGAACCTTTTTCAATGAATTCAGTTTCAATTGTATTTAGAAATATAATTAAGTTGACACTTGTCCAAACTAAATTCTGGATTTTTTGGGCTTTGTAACTCTTTGTTTTTTTAAATGAAAAGGCAGCAACCAACAATCTTTAATGCACTTGATTTTTGGTAGTACAGTATTTGAACAAACCATTATACAGAATTCCATTTTTGTTTGCTTACTTTCTATTAACATGATATAAATTATCATATATCCTATTGTAACATAGTTTGTTATATTATTGATATCATTTTTTTTCTTTATCAATATATCTTTATCATGTATTATTTTCCATTTTTAATTCTTTGTAAAATAATTATTAATTAATATTTAGAATAATTTTACTTTAGGCCTAAAAGCTAATGTGCTGTAAAGTACAGTAAATAATACCTTGTACTGCTTGCTGGTGGCAGTGTGGACTGTTACAGAGTGTGGACACACTAGGAGCTATGGTGCTTATATTACCAACACAATATATCACTTGGTGATAGCCTAGCATAATTTGCTAATAAGGTGAATTTGTGTGTAGCAAGATTTTGCTTGGTTGTATTGGTACTGCCAGTAACTGGTGATTGTGGATCACATATGGTGGCTATTGACTGTATACAGTTAGCACTACTTTATATAGACACTACATTTAATGCTCAAAACAACAAAAAAGTACTCTGGTGAGAGTGCGGGAGATTATACCGATTTCCCAAAGACCCTTGCCACTTGAGGGAGACTTGGGCTGGCCCTGTGTGGTGGTTGTTGTTTTTAACAATAAATGGGGCTAGCCTTGCCAAAATCAGCATCAGTGACAAAAACAAAAAAATTGACTTAATATATTGTATTTGTATTCTCCATATTATAAGCTTTGCAATGATATGTCATTTACTGGTAATGACTTATTGTTGCCAAAATTATGAGTAAAAGCATTACAACTTCTCTGTACTAAAGTATACAATATTGTCACATCCTTTATGCTAATTACTCAGTTTAAGATTAAGCTACATTACGATAGTTTCGGGATGCCAAGCCTCAAATATAGTATACAAACTAAACTATACCCATGAAATTGATTAAATTTTAAATCAAGAACAGAGAAAAAAAAAATACAAATTCAAATATGAAAATGAAATTAACAAAAAGAAAAAATGAGTAGTGCATTCAGAGTATAAAGCTCTGTCTACACTATCAAATTTTGTATGACAAAAAAGTGTGATATGCCCATATATAGGCATGATGACATCATACCATGACCATATATAGGCATAGCATTACCATATATGGGCATGTCAAATTTTGTTAAAGAAAATTTGATAGTGTGGATAGAGCTTAATGTAAGTAATAATATTTCATTTTTGCACATATCAAGTTTGAATACATAGCAAATAATGTGTCTATCATGTGCTCCTCTTCAAATCAAATCAATTAAGCTTCACATGGTCAGCGTGATAGGGATCAATTTTGCAAAGTGTGTTGAATTGGATAACTGTTAACCTTTGAGTAGTAGCCTCTGTGAGAGTTGATGTCTGCCTGACAAATCACAGCTGTTGTGTACAGGATCGCAGCATGGGGGCAGTATTTAAATGGACTGTCTGAGGAGAGCTATCGAGAATTGTAACAATCCACTGCAGCATACACTATTTGCTTATGCAGTAGAACCCCTCATGGAAACTTATAAATGACAATGTGATTATAATTGTCACAGGCTCTGTGTGAAGTTGTAGCAATTCAGCAGAAGAAGGAGGCGAAGGGAAAATTACTCCCCGGTCCAAAAAGAATGAAGCCCTGTTGCCACTAATAATATTAATTTACAGCTTCAACCAAAGTTAATTTGTTTGCAGTTTTTGTTTGTTTATACTTTTTTACAATCCTCAGCCATATAAAACCTTTCCTCTTGAATCTGGTTTACTCTGGGAATCCCATTTCATTCATCTTCTAACCAATAATCTTTAAAATAATAGGATAATGGTAGTTTTCAGGGCTACAGGGTATTGAGGATTATTTTGTAAAGCAAAGTTATACACCAGGTGGTGAATTAGGTTTGAAAACAAAAATGTAATTATCAATCAACTTGTTTTTCTTGTTTCAGGCCGCCCTTCCAATGACGACAACCCAAGATCATCAGATACAAATATTAACTGATAATTGGTCAATGAGGTGTGGAGTTGTAATGGACACAATCGGTGAATGGAGTCATGTGGCTTTTTAGCAGTGTTTCAGCTGTAAAAGTCACGTCATTAATGTTTAATAATGTTGCAACATTAGTAAATTGCTTTGAAATTGAATTTGGGAAAATTCTCTGAACAGTGTGCTGATGTTCCAAAAATTGTGTATCTTTAATATACGAGCACCAAATATTGAGCCTAGATCTTTATTTACAGTATATGTCTGCAGACAGATTAGGCACTGCAAGAGGTTTTTATTATACAAGTAGAGCATACTGCAGGGGTCCCAAGTCTCCCAGAAGTCGCGGGAGTCTCCCAGAAATCAGAAAGGCCTCCAACACTCCTGTGACCAAGCAACAATCTCTCGGAAAAATAACCCATCTCCCGTAAATTCACAGTATTGGCATGTTTTTACCTAGAGATTTTGATAATACAAGTAGGGCATATTGCAGGGGTCACAAGTCTCACAGAAGTCGCAGGAGTCTCCCAGACACTCCCGCGACCAAGAAATAATCTCCTAGAAAATAATTCATCTCCCGCAAATTCGCGGTATTGGCGTGTTTTTACCAATTGTTAACACTGTATTATCAGTTGTCTCCTGGATGTCCGTGCCAATGGGTATCACCATCCACAGCAGAATATATTTAGATGTGTTAAGAAATCACATTTAAACATATCTGCCGGATGTGGATCCTTCCAACTTGGGACCCCTGATATTGTAATATTAATTTCTAGGCTTGCTGTCCAGCTCATTGGAATTACTTGAGCCTTATATAGCCCAGAAATTGTTTGAATGAGTATAAGAACACTTTACAATCACACTGTTTCCTTACTTTATATTATTTGTAATATCATTGGGGAATAGTTTATAAACCATAATAACCTATACTTTATACACTGATTGCATTTGTATGTTAAACAAACTAAACATCATGTAATCACTACTCATTTTGGGGCCGCTGATTTTGTCTATTGTAGAGCAGAGACGGAAGACATTTGCTACGAGCAGAAAAAAATCATGCCAAGGGCATGCAAAATACAAAGAAAACATACCCAAAGCATATGAAATTGGAAGTAATTGTAATTTTCAATTTCAAAATTATTTTTTCATCCTTGGAATTTTCAAAATTCATATTTCTTTGGATCATACAATACTGAATTATATTTTGTATTATAAGATTAGCATGTGGCATACTGTATCTATATCTATTAAATTAATTTAAAATATATGTTTGTTAGTGTTATTATTTCAGAAGTGATAACGTATGGCATTTTCAGTGTAACAATACTCTTATATTATGTGGTGCTCCTCCACAAGAAATCGATTAAATGAATGAAGTTATGGAAACAGATAAGAAAATAAACAAAACCAGTTACATTACTTGAGCTGTACTTGGATGAGCGTCCCTCTCTCTCTCTATGTGGCCATGATGTATATACAGATACTCCACATAAGGTGGTATGCTGGGCTCCAGTAGTTCCACCTTTTGGGCTGCCCATCAGGTAGCGCTACCATGCACCACTGAGGCAGCAGCTCTGCCCCAAGTGTGGTAAGTGTAAAACAAGGAATTATAAAGTAAAATATGTTTCAAATAAGGTTTGTAGATTAGATTTAAACTCAAGAATGGAGGATGCATTTACTGAATAATAATAATAATTATTATTATTATTATTATTTAAAAATAAATGAATGCCCAACTGAAAATAGAATGACCGGTTCAAGAACCAGACCTGGACACCTGGACCAATGAGAGTGATACAGAAGGCCAAGAGCACAGAGGAGCTCTTTGAGTTTTATAGCTGGAGAGAGCAACACCCTGTGACAGAATGTGTGTAAACTTCATACAGAAGCCTTTCCTTTTGATGGTGTAATGTAAGCACTAGTTCAACAACAGTTTTTCTGTAGTAATTCTGATAAAAGGTGGTTATTGGCCAATAACAATGCTACAAGAGATGCTCTTGTAGCATTGTTTCTGATATACTATTGCTACAAGAGATATCTTGGTAATTTTGGACTCTTTTTCTTGTAAGAAAAAGTATGTCGGATATATTTCCAATTTCACCGTACAAATTGCTACATCATGAACTAGACCCACAAACCGTTATTAATAGATGGCAGTAATTTGCAAGGCCTACTATCAACAAAGGTTATCGTATTGCCGATAATCAGAGATGACATGTTTTCCTTTGTATTTTCTTCAAAAAATCGTGTCCCGACTGTCATGAAAGCAGGACATGTTCACAAAAGAGTACGTCGACAATTCTCCCGCCGTGATAGGTTTCTCCGATGTCTTGTTATCTCTCCTGTCAATTACCTATGTGGTCTCTACAGAGCTCCTACTTTTTTTCTTTTGTTTTTATTATTTTTTGTGATTAAATGAAGGAGAAAGCTCATAAAGATAAATTTTCGAAAGGATGTGCGTAAACACCTTTGCAACTTATGTAGAAGATGAGTAACGTGCATGTTGTGGTATTGTTTGTCAAAATCAGAATGGAAACTTCCAGCTCTGTTGACAGATCAGGCATCCCTTGGGGACAGTGTAAAGCAGGCCAAGGCCAGACCCACGGTGAACCCTAAATTTTTGTAGTGCATGACATGACAAATATTTTACCTGGAGACTTTCCTGCCTTGCTTCAGGAACGGGGAATGGGAAACCAGTGCGAGTAGGAGGGGGAGGTAAGAAGGAAACCCCATCAGTAATTCTCCTTGATTATTCGACTTGAGTAAAGTATATTTGATTAATTTTTGAGTAAATAATAAATCTTGACATGATTGGGAATTAAAATCGCTTCACATCCTCCTCAACTGCTTCATATCACAATTCCCCAAACACAGCTCTCTGAATGGATTAAAATACTTAGAATTTGGTTTCAGTATAATGCTAGCATTTGCCGCTAATCAATGGTGTCCCGAAATAACCCTGCTTCACTGAAAATCCTATTACTTCTAAACACAATGTAATTAAAAAGGTCAGGAATTTTTTACATTCAGCTAGAAAAATTAAATGTTGAGTCAACCAAAAATATATAAAATATGCAGCATTATATTTTGAATGATAACCATACTTCTTGATTGTACTAGAAATTTCACAGTATTTAATGCATCTGATCATATACTCAATATTCACTCAACTCATTCTATAATTATTTATTCCACTTTTATTTCTTCAGTGAAAATCACTAATGGTTTGTGAGCCCTTTGACACATTTAAATGAATCTCAACCACAGAAAAAATATACACTGTTCCATGTATTTACAATTGTATCAAACACATACTGTACAATTTAGAAAGTTCAAAATTGTACATTGTCAAATTACACTACTATTATATTAAAACTATAAATTTATACACACAAGTTTTCATCATGCTAGCAATCATCAGGCTGTGAAAATTTCATATTTTCTAAATTACACTATTAATGTTACAATGGTAATATATTTATTTCTTGGAATGAGATGCAAATAAACATTATTTTATTGTGTCAAAATTTGCTGTCTCTATTTTCTATCTATGTCTTCGAAGTTTTTACATTAGTTTTATGTATTTAAAACAATTTTTTACAAATAAAAGTTCTTATCTTTTGACCAAAACAAAACTTATGTATGTAATTAGGCTGACGAACACTGCATCGGTCGACTGACTTCATTTTTCAGTGGCAGTTGGAGTGGATCATAGAAAACTGCATCACACGACGTGTTGCAGCTCATGGAATTGCCCTGCTGCTGACAAGGTGTGTGTGCTCTGCTTTGAATAGCATTGAAGAAAATTCTGCTATGAATTAATAACTTTATTATAGTTATTTTGTCTCTCTAAGCAAGGGTAACTGAAGATACAGTCTTCAACACCCCACGTTTTTCTTAGTCCCTATGTATGCAACATGTAAACACAAGTTACAGTACTTCTAATCCCGCTTTAAGCCTTGGTGGGAAGCCAGGACCTAATGGATGGAAGCCTAAGCCACCATGCTCACCCAGTTGTATCATTCACAGACCTGTTCACACTGCACATTTCTCGGATTTTTTTCCCTCAAAACAATTAGCGGACCCTGTTTTCATCAACCTGCAAGATACCAAAACCACTAAACATTGAGAATATATTTTTTTTAAATCCAACTTAAATCATTCCTAACTTTTCATATTTTATAACTAATATTACTAGAAGTTGAAATAGTCAGTTTGGATTTAATTATCACTGTCAATCTGTTTAGTCCATATACTGTATATTATTTAACCTTGCTGTATTTCCAATGTCATAATTATTAATGCTGACTTTATTAGATAACAAGACTTTGGGGCACGCCTCTATCGTGGAACCTGAAATATGAATATTTTCCTTAGATTTGCAAAATCAAAAATCCTCTTTAAAGTACTAAAAAAGTGCATAAATAGATTTTTTGTTCTCTGTTAGAGATCGAGACGTTCTGAGTAAGTACTCCGTTTCCATTTTAGCTTTACAAAAACGAAAATTTGCCATCTATACAATTCCTGAAGCTAAATGAAATTCTTTCAAGATTTTTTGTTGTTGGTGATGCTAAAGCCAGAGGTAGAAAGGACCATCTATGATTTCAAAACCACACTGTGAGACATCTGTCACACTATAGGCTATTCTCAAGGGATATATCAAATAGGTGTACATTAATACCTTTGCATCGCGCAGTTTCTGAATGGCATTAACGTCGTTCTTGAGCTTGGACCACCGTTCCTGCATCCTTATCTGCCTCTTGTTCTGGGCTGCAAGCCTATGCATTGAAAAATATCGCATAGAAAGTAAAAAAGCTTTATAAAACTGTGAGCTATATACAAAATGATATGATCGATAGTACAGTGTAACTGAAACCCAGGATTCTACTCAACTGGTCCACTGTCGATGAGAGTAAATTCATTTTAAGCTCTGTTTTGCTTACCTGTCAGCTAGGTAGGCGTCAAACCGCTTTTCAACGGTGACATGAACTGTAAAAGGCAGCGGCTCCTGAATATTTTGCCAAAAACAATCTAGTGACGGGAATGAGCGAAGCTGGAATGCAAATACCGAACTGTCTCCACTGTGTGGCATATACTCCTTGTCAGGATTCAGCAGATTGGCTGTTGAAGACAATATTTAAATCACAGAGCTATTATCAATAAATTAAAGCTGTTTTTGGCCATCTTAAATCACACTCCGAGCCCCAAAGATGGTGAGACGCAGGACAAACATTACTTCCCCTTCTCCACTTTAATTGAAAACCTATTTGTATTTCAAGGTTTGTCCTATCTTATTCAGGGATTGTTTTAGTGCAGACTTTTGATTCTGGCACTGAACTATGAAGGTCATGGTTTAATCTTATCACTTGATATGGTGTCCTTGGCTGTAGGATATTGAGAGGGGCAAAACTTTTAGACAAGTTGTCTTACAATATCCAGTAGAGTAGAGTGGTTTCAAGAGGCTAGGGCACCTAGGAAATGAGTAAACGCTTTATACAGAAATTCCTGTAATGACCTTGGTTCCTCTTAATTTGCTGCTATCTCCAATATCTACCTTTCATGAACAGCATCTGTCCCTCTGCTCCCAATGTTATGCTAGGTGACCATGGCGTGGACAGCTGGTGCGTGACAGGAAGGACCACTTCACATATTGCATTTCCTTTAACTGCGTCATATAACATCACAGCTCCTGTCTTACGCACTGTAACAATCTATGAATGTACAAGAAAACTAATGCTTTAAATATTTCAATCATGCTGTAACATATATATTGTAAACATTTTCTGTAGATTATCTAAATCAGTGATGCAACACCAAGACATGGGGCCCAGGGGTGAAAAAATGTTGAGAGGCCCTTGCATGTCAAGAAAGTATTTGCTTACTTAATCTCCATAGCTAATTTCATGGCTGAAGACTGGTCAGTGTTCACGTTTTACTGTCCTGGGTAGAAGTAAGCAGGGGTTGGAGGCCCCCTTTTAATTAATTTCCCAAAAGCTCACAGGAGTTGCGCCACTGATCTCAAATAATTATGATAAAGCGGATTCATTTGTAGAAAAAATAAAGCTTTGTCTACACTATCAAATTTCATTTAAAAAAAGCGTCACATAAAAATTTGATGGAACATAGAGTTCAACACTTTTTTTTATACAATTTGAAGATATGTGATATGACATCATCGTAGCCATATATGGGCACATCACATTTTTTTGTCACATAAAATTTGATAGTGTAAACATAGCTTAACAATTATAACAATGTTTTTATGAAATGGACTCACTTACCACTTGTGGAAATGAAGGAAACGTCTGAATAAAACTGAACTTTTCAATGTCATAGGCTGACCTGTCAACAATACTGACACTCTCTGTAGTCCGCTTACTCCCACATGTCAGGCTGGTCAGGGAGCCATCGCTGCAACCTACTAGGGCTACGCAGGCGTGTTTAGTGGCATAAGGTGGGAGGCTTGGAGGATCTTCACCAAGCACACTTGGGTTTAAAAAGTTGATGTATGTGACATAACCATGTGATGAAATTTTCTGTACTTTGATAGGAACACCTAGAAATATAAAATAATATATAAAAATAAATACACAATCAGTATATAAACAATGAATTTCAAATTAATATATTATGTAATAATTTTGCAAATGCCATAGGTTAATAATAATACAGTAACATGTATTGATGTTTATCATCATCGTTGTTGTCTTCACCATCTTCTTCAACTTAATAAACCTAAATCAGAAGTACTGTATGGATTGAGATCCTTAGTTGTTGCTGCTCCAGGAATGACCTTTCATCTTTCATTAGTAAAGAGAAATCTCTTGATACCTTCAGACAACGACCTTTTTTTCAGAGAATTAAGCTATGCACAGTTAGCTGGCACTTGAGATTTTATTGGATAGAGCACTTTAAAAATGCTTGTTTATTATTAATATTATTATTATTATTATTATTATTATTATTATTATTATAAATTATTATTATTATTATTGTTATTATTATTATTATTATAATTATTATTGTTATTATTATTATAATTATTATTATTATTATTATTATTATTGTTATTATTATTATTAATATCATCCCCATCATCAACGTCATTATTATCATTAACAATCACACGGCACTTGAGATTTTATTGGATAGAGCACTTTAAAAATGCTTGTTTATTATTATTATTATTATTATTATTATTATTATTATTATTATAAATTATTATTATTATTATTGTTATTATTATTATTATTATTATAATTATTATTGTTATTATTATTATAATTATAATTATTATTATTATTATTATTATTATTATTATTATTATTATTATTGTTATTATTATTATTAATATCATCCCCATCATCAACGTCATTATTATCATTAACAATCACACGGTGCCTGCCAGTAATTATAACAGTAGACATACCATAGGCTTTATCCCACACCAGCAGTGTTCCATCCTGTAGGCCAATACCAAGCAGTGAAGTACAAGGCGTTGTTGACAGTACTGTAATGGGGCTTGAGTGTGGCCACACCAATTCAGGTTTATGTTCTATGTCTAAAAAAAAGAAATGGTTAGCAGAAGACATTTAAGTATACTGTAGTTTAGACATAATGAAGGGTGGATTTGCATGTGTGCTCCAAGTAAAATAAAATGTAAAAACAATGACACATTTTGTGATTGTGTGGTTATTGGCAAAGAAAATATATTTTTTTCCTAATCTTTAATAGAAAGCTAACAACCCACTTAAATCTGTGCCTAATACAAACAATATTCTGATTGGGCGGATGACTGTTAGTGAACTGTAGTAATTTATTTAGCTAGAAAATAACATAGCAATGGATATGTTACTGCACAAAAGTTGATAGTATGCGAATTGCTGTCAAACATGTTTAAAAATCAATCCATTACATATTGACATACATCAGGTTTGTCCTCTTCTTTTATCCTTCTCTAAATTCTTATCGTATTAATGAATTTCCTTTTGTATGGCCTGCCTTTTATCAAACTTCACGTTTAATAACAAATTTGTCTCAGTCAAACAAATGCAGTTAAAAAAAAACTAACTATTGTTAGGAACATACAAAGAAGACATCTTGAAATATGTTATATTAGGATTTAAAATATTAGGATTAAAAAAAATTGTATTATATATGTTCTTATTTTGCTGAAATTGATACCTATTTATTGTACAGTATTATTAATTATTACTAATATATTCTGTAAAATGACAGGCAGTATTCGGGAAAAATAAGTAAATTCTTTCCTATGTTGTATAGGGATATTATATCCCATGCAGTCATTCGCTTGTTAATGAAACAAATCAGTGATCAGCATCTGACTCAAACCCAATTGATTGGAAGCCCACACCAGTCGGCTAAACTGGTGGTAGCCACTGCGTGTGTGCCGAACCGTGGAGATATGTAGGTCTCCGGTTCAATTCCTATCGCTGCTCTCGTGTTTCAACTGGTGGGCTGAAATACAAGTTACGATAGCGCACCGTCTTTTGGATGAGACATTGAAGCCGTTGGTCGTCTGTGCAATATGGCTAAAAGGCATGTCAAAGAAGGCAGTACATTCTTGTGTGTAGATTCTTTGGTAAAGAGTAGGGGATTGTCTCCTGGTGTACTGGCCAATCCACCACCAGAAGGACCACCACTGGAAACAGGTCTTTGGAATTAGTGGACTATCACTGGTGTGATTCACTGAAGTACTCCTATCCTATCCTACTGCTGTGACATATTTTCCCACAAGTTTAATATCCTTTTATTATATATATTTGTCTGAATAAATAATAATGATAAAAATAATTATATAAAATAAAAATAATAAAAATATGCTTAACTAATTAGCATCCCATGTCAAAGCTTTTTTCCCATGTTAATTTTCAAAATTTAATCTGACTTATGAGAGAAGCTAAACAATTTTTTTTCACAAGCTTTATATCATTATTATGCCTATTTGCCTGAATAAATAATGATGATAATTAATAATAATAATAATATAAATAATAATAAAGGTAATGCTACTAATACTTATAACAAAAATTATGACAAAACTATGTTCAAACAATAGAATCCCATTTTAAAGTTTTTTCCCATGTTTTTCAAAATTTAATCTGACTTGTGAGGGAAGCTAAAAAATTTTTCCACAAGCTTTATATCATTATTATGCCTATTCGCCTGAATATAAACAACCACAATAATAACAATGATAATGATAATGATAATAAGTAATAATAATAATAATAATAATAATAATAATAATAATAATAATAATAATAATAATAAAAGTGATGCTACTAATAATTATAACAAAAATAATGATAAAAATATGTTCAAATAATGGTGTCCCATCTCAAAGCTGTAGACAGCATTCTTCTCATGTTTTTAAAAATTCAATCTGACATCAATTATGAGGGAAGCCTAACAATTCTGAAAATAAATAAATGCTTTTTGACAGGTATATTGGGTAAAAACTATTTTGAAAGTTGTGTTAGCAGTTAAATATCTCAACTCTGACATTTTAAAGCAAGTTATCAGATAACTTCTAAAATTCAATGGGAAATGTCAATTGAAATGTGTTATGAAATTCTCACATCAGCCAGAAACAATTACAAGGGCAAGGAATGTACTGACGAACATACCTTATCTGATTACAAAATATAAAATAGGTCGATATGTATGTGCTCTAGTTTAGGCCACTGGGAGGAACTTGGGGCTCAGGGGTCCAATTTTATCAGTGCCACCCCAGCTTCCATTAATGTCTTTTTTGTGTGTGTATTTGCTTGTGGCAGCATTAATTTTGGCTGTAGGCCTACATTATATAGGCTCACTTTTATGTCTCAAGATATATATTTGAGGTTCATTCTAAACGAAAATAATAATTAATTGATTTACTTATGCACTGTCACATATTTCAGTTGGAGTTCTATGACTATTGAAAATGTGAAATCTGATCTTGTCCTCCTGTTATTGGTTGCAATGTAGCATATATGACCCCGACACTGAAGAAAGGTCCACAATCTCCCAGTGTACAGATAGTTCACTTCTTGTTTAGTGTCCGTGTATGTATACAAGTTTGTGATGTGTTGTGTCAGTGAAGTTGATTGCCACCTTCCTGGCAAAAACAGCGTAACTCAACATTTTTGTTCGATTTTAAGATAATATCATTTGGGAGTATATTAAACACTCCTGAATTACCAGTGAAAACGTCAGGTCTCAACAATTAGTAGTTTTTTGAGATAGCAACACTTATCCTTAAGCATGAAACTTAAAGTCAAGTGATTTTCCATGGCAAAACAATGTAACCGAAAATTTACGGGGCAAAACAACTTATATTCAATAAAGATACTTTGTTTTGCCTTGGCATGGAATTCAAAAATTTCAGCAAAATCAATTCGTTGGTAGTGTTGTACATATCAACAATCTTAACAACGGTGTATACACACCCTAGATGTGGTAAATTCAAAATTACATCACACTTGTGGCAATACCGCACCTGACAATTCTCAATGTTACCAAGGTAAAACAATGTATACTTTGAAAATCATTAATAACTTAGTAATATACTAACTGTTGTAATTAAAATTTGACATATAATTCATAATTTCTATTATATCTATGGTGCTACAAAATTTCAGAAGGATACAAAAATGTTTTGCCCAATTGCAAACATGCAAACTTTTTCTCGAAAAGTGAAACTTTCATATTTAACTTTGTTTGCCTCAGAATGGCCGGATAGATGTTTGACGTTGACATCATAATTTCTCCATAATCAAGAGATGTTACAGACCTTTAGTTTGCTTTAGAAGGCTATAATGATAAAGGTTGGTTGAGCCAGACCATGCTACGGCAATGCAGTTTGGACGGCCTGTGTTCGCAGGTGATTCCAACCCAATTGGAAGCATTCTTCCAGCATTTAGGAACACGCACAAGGACTGTGGTCTGTAACTCAGAAAATAATGAACAAGGCTAATTAAAAGCATTGATCAGTTTATCAGCGTTATCAATGTTAAAAATATATTGTGTATTCATACTAGGCTGTCCAACAAAGCAGGATGGACAATTTCAGGCTGTGACCAACAGAGTCTAGAGGCAAAGCCCTAATCGGGGCCCCAGGGCTAATCACCCTGGTGCCTAGAAAAACTGGATAATTTTGGACCATTTTAACCTGTTCTGAGATATTTTAGCTTGTATTGAGTCCAAATTAATAAAAAAAAAAAAACACTCTTCATCAGTGGTCCAAGGATTTGTGGCCTATAAGGGGCTTGGCATGTCTTAAGCCCCTGCCACCGGCTCTCCCCCACCCCCCATTGGTGATGAGATCTGTGCATAAACTTATCTTTTGATTGAAAGACTGAGGCCTCACCGATGAACCAAATGCTTCTATGTAATAGAATTATTTGTTGCTTTATCATAAAAGCTTCCATTATACAAGATTTTCCATTATACAAAGTTTGCAGTACTCATTTGAAATACATTGAGAAACTTTCAATCCAAGATGTACAAAAGTGTTGACAGAATTAGGAAAGCTTAAAGAACAGCCACCCTACTAAACACCAACCTTTGCACTGTCTCATCATCATCTTTGGGCAAACATCTCAGATCTTTTTCATGAAGGTGTTGGAAGACGGTTGTTCTAAGGTCAGAATGTGCCTCTGAGATCAGATGCTTGGTGCCAGATCCAAGTATAGCGCCATCATCAAGCTTACTCAAGGCAACATGAGGTGTACAATTTGGCAATGCTTCATTCACGTAAGACAAAAAAATTGAACATTTTATTTATGATGAATATCATTTGCGATAAATAACCCTTGCATGGTGCCTCACATAGTAGCTTTAATAATTAATAATCACAAAAATCAAATCTTAAAAAGTATACTGAGATAATAGCATAGGACAATTGGTTAAATAATAAACTAGAGGTATTAGTGTATGAATGCATATGGGCTGAACCTCTTTGTTTCTGGCTCTATTCCATTAAGCTTCTCTTCCAGTAAATTACAAATTGCAGCACACTTTAAAGAAAAGAAAAAAAAACCGTTTAGGCTGTAGGTTCTGTGTACAATCCACAATGATTGGTGACACTGCCCTCCTTCTGCCATGGGTCACCAAAGGGAATCAGCCCAAATTTGTGGGGTTCTGCTAGATGCTTAACAGGCAGTAGTATACAGTATCTCAGAGATATGAATGAAGGGGGAGGGTGCTAGCAGGAGAGAAACTTTTTCTGAGGGTGTGATTCCATTCCCTGTCCCATTCCCTTGATAGGATTGCCTCAAGGTTATTGAAATGCAACTGTCAGCTCTGTTTACTTACTCCTACCTGTAAATGGTGGAGGTGGTCGAACTCTTAGAATGTGTGCTGGCTTTGAGAGGTTGCTAATGTTCATAGACTTCACATCTGAAGTCTTTTGGTGCAGCTCTGCTGTAAAGTCCACACTTTGAGCACGGGATAATGGAGTCTAGGGTAAAAGGAATAGTACCATAAGCTATGGGTATATATAATCATTTGTAGCTCATCTTTTGCCAAGGTGCTGGCCATGTAATTATTACTCCTGGTCACTGGATACTGGCAGTTTTCACTCCTCGGAAATTATGCATATGTCTTGGTGCAATACACTATGGAATGATTGCAATGTCTAATATGGGAAAATCATAATAAAAACTGAGAGAAAACAAATGTACAGTGAAGCACTCTCATTCATATCACCAAATAATACTTAACATAGTAATTTCCAGCCAATACTTACTTGATTTCTGCTTGTAGATCTCTCTAATGGCACACCACTAACATGCTCTGAAGGGTCACTCACCTCAATAGGGTGGTCTACTGTTGTATCCTATTCAATGAAATAACATGAGAATGCAGAACAAAAAGTATATTTCTTCTGAAGTATTTCATATTCAAGATTAAGGATTTATTGCTACAAGTACAGTATATGAAATTTTTTTTTTTCTTAGATTAATAAAGACTAAGGAATGGATTTGATTTCATTTTCAGTCGGTTCATTCTTGTGATGAACTGAAAAAAAAACAAAAACTCCAATGCTTTTTCTGAAAACATACTGCATTCTTCTGGGGGAAATATTGCACACACGTTTAATGGTTGAAACGTCTCATTTGAAAGACAGCGTGCAATTGAAATTCTCATTTTCAGCCTTCCAACTGAAACACAAGAAGAGCATCAGATGGAATTGAAGTGAGAACTAAGGTTTTGTAAGGCTCCGAGTCTCCATGGTTCAGAAAGTGGCTACCACTAGTTAAGCCACCTGAGAAAAGCTGATATGTTAACTCTAAAATAATCCTGGAGGTCATATGTTTTTCAATAAAACAAAGTACACACATTTCTGTAACTTCAAAACATTATAATAAGGTGCTACCTTAGCCTTTGCCTGAGCACCTTGCTGTTTTATAGCATTATTGTGGGCTGTGTCCAACTCCTGCAGCCAACTGTCTCTGGGTACTTTGAACACATCAAGCCAAACCTCATCACTCCCTGCGGAAGATATGATACTTAGTAGGTAGAGCAGTATTAGTGAGGTATAACTATGTAAAATGAAACACTGGTAGCACTTTATTAGCTAACTATAATGTTTTATTCACACAAGCTTTTGCCAGCAGTCTATGACTACACCTGATACAAAAGCTTGTGTGAATAAATACGATACTTATAAACAATATGAGGCTTGCCACCCAAAAAACAGAATCAGTGATCAAAAAATGAAAACCGACTTTTTAATACTGTGCTGTATATTCTTATTCTCCACATTGTACTGTAGGCTTTAAAATGATGAGTCATAATGGAATCGACTTACTAAATTGCCAAATTTATGAGTAACAGTATTATGGCTTCTCTGTACTGAAGTATACTCAATGGCGGATCCAGGAATTTGAAATAGAGGGGGCCCAGGGGAGCACTTTCAGAGAAAAGGGTAAATCTATACCACCATAGCCCTACCATGGTTGGGGCTGAGGTAAATAAATTTATGATTTAAAGGCACCGTTAGGCCTAGATGGCCGGAAATGGCACTTTCAGACTTAATGTTTGAATATAATTTTCCATTCCACCCTGCCCCCCCCCCCTACTTATAATTACGGGGTGGGGGGGGGGAATCAGGCCAGCTGAATCTGCCACTGATTCCTATGCCAATTATTCAGTTTAACAATTAGCGACAGTAGGCTGGTCTCGTATATGAAGTGAAATGTAGAAGCAAAATCTTCGTAACAATACACATAATTATTGTTGTCTCTCTAACCTTGCATAGATACAGCAATATAGTCAGCTTCATTTGACAGAATAACACCTGTTGCCATGGTCTTCATCCCATCTTGATCATTCAAGACTCGAAAGAAATGAAGTCCATTGAATGCAAAGAAAAACATTCTCAGTAAACCTGAAAGAATTAATAGGATGGATTCACTGTGTGTATACAGTACTTGATGCTGTAAAAAGGAAATGGTTGTTATAGTGGATATTTGCACGATATAAAAAAATGGATTTTCCAATAAACAAATTGTTCTATCATTAAATCAAGACCAAAAATCCACCCTGTACAACTTCAATGGTACCAAACGCTACTGAGGAAATAAATATTGACTATGGAAGTTAACATTTTTCTATTCTGAATATTTAAATTATTAATAAATAATAATGATGATAGTCAGTATCTATGGGTAAATATTTTATCAACATAATTAATGTTGGCATTACTCTTATCAGATCAATTACTTGGAGTACACAAGACATTCACTAGAATGTATATACATTCATTCCATACATTCCATGTGAAATGTTGGATTATGTCTTGACCTCAGCACATAAGCAGTTGAAACTACAAGATGGCTAATAAATATTAGCAAATGAGAACCTAAATCATCAATGGCTGTGACAAGATACATCTGAACTCCAATGAGTGATATTTCCAGAGTGCTTATATCTGCTTCTTCTTGTTGCCATCTTGCCAAGACAATGTGGTGCGTAGCATCCAACACAGCAAGTCCATTTGGAAGACCAACAAATATATAGCGACCATCTGGACTCTGCTTCAGGCATGTTGTTTGTTCAAGGTCCTTGAAAAAAGATGAGAAACATATTATAATATACGCATTACGAAAGAGTATATAGCCTAGCCTAGGCTATACCGTCCTTGGAATGAACGATTGGCCTATGTATGCTTATCTAGTTTAAGGCTAGTGCTTGCCTAGTAGGGCCTACAAGGCCTAGTTGACCCTAACAATAGGAACACTTATGACTTTAGTTGTTGTTTGTAGGTAGGCCCTAGTAGGCTAATATTAATAATGTTACTTATAAAACAATAAATAAGATTTAATAATAAATATATTAATATTATTAATAGTTTATTATTGTAAATATATATCCCCACCCTACCTGTAATTGAATTGCACATTCATATTGGGGTGGCTTAACGCGAGAAGATTCTTCGATTCTAACATCTTCTCGGATGCTAACTTGCTCCCAGGCCCTGTCAAATATGTGCACCAACAGCTTGTTGATCAATCGAAACGGCTGCGGAAGGCGATCAAGCATCTGATCTGGATCGGTAAGGAAGTCCTCATCATCGCTTGACAAGTTACTAAGAGAATCAGGCGTTATGGACATTAAATTTTTACGAACGTAAACCGGCATTTTCTATCACATGTGTGTAAAATCATGTACATAGAAACACTAAATGCAAACAAACTATAACATAAAAATTCTATCAACAGAGCAGTAGAAAGCTTGATGTTGCTCGGCACCCATAAACAATTAGCAGGTCAAAGGTTACCCACAGGGCCCACTAGTTATAGAGGGCAGCAAACATGTTTTTAAGAATTTATTTCAGAGCACATGTCAATGTTTTGATATACGCAAATAAGGTACGGTCTTACTGGTGACTGGTAGTGTGTTTTTTGTATTCATATTTATTAAAATTAATTTGGCATAATTCTTAGTTTAAAAATAAATTATTTGTTGCAATTGAAAACTAAGCCTAGGCTAGGGGGATCAAGTAGGCTAGGCCTACTAAGATCTTCTTACTTCGGCTAGGGATGATAGGCCTTACCTTAGCCTAAGTTAAGTTAGCCTTACTTTAGTTAGGCCTAGCCTAGGTAGGGTCCGCCAGGCTGGCCATCATGGCAAGGCGGGCTAGGCCCAGGAGGCCAGGCCTAAATTAAGCCTCTTTTGGCCAACCAAGTACGCCAAGGCCTAAGGCCAGAGAGTAAATAGGCCGCTCTAATATCTAGGTCTAGATAGAGTCGGCCAGATTGCAGAAACCCAGATTACCAAGTGGCATTTTGCAGACACAAAAAAACTAAAATCCCAGTTTGCCAAAATCCAGTTTGCCGAAACCCAGTTAAAATTATGCAGTGAAACACCATAAGATTCAGCAAACTGCGTTTCGGCAAACTGGGTTTTAACATGGCATTTTGCCGAACTGAGTTTGCCGACACAAAAAAACTAGAATCCCAGTTTGCCAAAATCCAGTTTGCCGAAACCCAGTTAAAATTATGCAGTGAAACACCATAAGATTCAGCAAACTGCGTTTCGGCAAACTGGGTTTTCATGATTTCGGTGAACTGGATTTGGCAAACTGGCCATAAGACTCAGCAAACTGGGTTTCAACAAACTGGTCAGATCCGGTCGGCCCATGCCCCGTGTCACCCCTTTTGAGTGGTGCCGCCAGGATATGCCCGATTTAGAGCTTAAGTTATCTGACAGGGGTCATACAGTTTTCAGTGGGGGTCAACACGGGCCAGCGGTGTAAGCCTTCGCAGGGTTTATAGAACTTTTTGGGCCATTTAATCAAATGGGAATGTAAACCGTGGATAGAATTTAACATAGAAGACGTTACAGTTCAGTATTTAGTATTACAAAAAATTACCCCAGATACATATTATAGACCCAGGTTTTACCGAAAATAGGCATGTTTAATATGGTTGCTTCACTCTTGGTTATTATCTGTGTTCTCTGGAAAATTCCTTGCAGTGAGAAAGAACAAGCTTGGAATTGGCATCTCCTTGCATGTTATATTCTTTCCTATCACTTTTCCTATATTATGTTGCCTTGTATGTTGGTACATATTCCAGTTCATCCACATGTGATTTTTACCTGATTACCTAGAACATTTAATTCATTTGTACATAAATAATTAGTACAGTTTGCTTACTTTGTATTTAGATGGAAGTAGTGAGTGATGCTTTACTTCAAACTGAATGCATCACCGGAAAAGAGCATATGCTTCTCAGTAAATTCATTGAAGCACTGGGATCTTTGAAAGCTACTGAATCAAAATCAGTTCCACAGCAAACGGACAGCACAGAAGAATATCCTAGTGTGACCAGCAACAATCTGAAGCTATTGCTTTTATCAAATTTAGTTCTGTTGGCAGCTAAATGTGGTGGCGGGTGCAACTCAGCCGAGTCAATCCTAAAGAATCTCATTCAGGAACACAAACTGATAGACATTTTGGTAAGTCACAAACTGATTCACTCATCACCAAAATGATCACCTCACCTCATCATCATTATCATCATCACCACCTTATTAATTATTTATTAATTTGCTTTTTACAGTTCATGTCACCGTTGAAAAGCGCTTTGCCACCGCCTTATTTATTTTATTTTTATTTATTTATTTTTATATGAAACATATTTAATTAGGGTGATCCATATAGCAGAAGCTGATCATACGGATCCTCAACATGTAACAAAACAATTTACTGAAAACATCTTAACTAACAACAATTTAAATTAGAATAAGAATATAAAACATTAATACAAACATTACTACTTAAAATTAAAATAACTAAAAATATAATATGCAGGTTATTGCAACAGCCATAAGAATTAAGTAAGAAATTAAATATAAGCTAAAATATGAATCTTCTATAAGAAAAAAAAAAATATCAAAATATATGATAAAATGAATAAATAAAAAGTCAGAAAAATCGGGTAATAATAATAATTAAAAACAGTGAAAAGGAGATAATGACATGAAAGACAAAGAAAATAAAAACGTGTTTAGTCTAAGAAGTAACAGAATAATAAATATTGTGAATTAAAACAAAAAAATAAATAAAAATAACAATATAAAATTAATATGCAAAAACAAAAAACCGAAGACCTTCGTAATCATCATCATTATCAGCCACATCATTATCATCGTCTTCCTCCATTGCCATCATGATTGTCTAAACACAAACGACATCATCGTGAATGATCATCACCAACAATCGCATGTCATCATCACGATCATTGCTACTAGTGTATTTATTTTATATTGAAATCCTTTCTCATATTTGTTTTTGTCAATTTTCTTTTTGGTGATTGTTTTATTTTTTTACTCCAGTGTAAACAGGGGCGGCGCTAGCGGATGTCCAAGCGGGCAAAGGACCCTCTGTCGGGACCTCTGGACCCCTGCTTCGACCCCCCTGTCTGGGGAATTTCCAGCAAGGTCGTCAGGGGAAAATCAAATCTCAAGCGATGAAAGTACAATTTAAGCATGCCTTACTAAGCTCTCAAATTTTAGGGATTAAAACTGTTTAGTGCGATCAGTGCTACCGTATGTGCAGGGTGTTGTATACTATTACGGTCGTATGGGTTGTAGTGGTGGCACTAGCTCTTCCCCGACAGGAGGACTAGTACTCCAGACAGGGGGACTTTTAACTTGCAATGTTTTCTATCAAATTATCATTTTTAAATAAAGAATCCCATATTAACACAAAATGTTATTATTTTGTTAGTAGTTAGTATCACTCAGACACCACCCTCCCATAAAATACATCAATAATAATTATCACTGCTCACCCAAAGTTAGTTATTGCAAATAATCTTGTTTGAAATAATTTTTTTTTTTTTTCAGATTGACTGTCTTGATAGTAGTGATAGATTTGTTGCATATAGTGCGAGCAAGACTCTTGCCACTTTCATTTGTTCTGTCAAATCCCAGGTAATGTAGACCTAGAGTGTTGACATAATAGTGAAGTTCAAATTATGTAATGAAGTACTGTATTATAATTAGGCATTTTTACCATTAGTAATATGGCATACATTACCTTAATTTTTGAATGCTCCTCATTTGCTCTCCTTCTTCCATGTAACATACTCATATGCACTGTATGAGAGACATTATCAATACATGCTAGCTAACAGGCAAATCTGAACTAACCGCTATGCTATACATTCATTTTGGGCAAATGTTGGGGAGAGGGGTGTGTCAGCAAAATAACATTTACACATGATTACCATAATGATTTGCCTCTCCTTGTCTATTTATTCTAGGTATGATTATAGTAAATAGAACAATATAAATCTACTTGTTTTTATGAGAATTACAATTTGCTTCGCACTGTAGGTATTTGGTGAACTTGCTACTCTTATGGAAATTCTAATGAGGCCATTTCACCACTTAGACTCAAGTGAGGATGAAGATCGAGAATCTAAACACCAAAGAGATTGGTTGGCAGAGAGGACTATCTATCCCTGGGAAGTTGTCACTACTGTGCTTGAAAGAATGTGCATACCAGAGCAAGATAAGGTACAAGTCTGTACGAATCATCATATTGTTCATACTGATATCGGTAAGAAATACATATAATAATAAATAAACAATAATAACAATTAGTAATAAGTAATTATACAACAAGCAACTGTTGCAACACATTGAATTATGTTAATTTTGTTTCATTTGTTTCAAAATGCAAGTTAGTTGCAACGAATCAAATGACTAAGTGATTAAGGCAGGGACGCTGCAACCTACAGCCATAATATCGGCGCTGGTTCGAACAGACTCTTAGGGGTGGAGAAAGTCATTGATCGGGCTACTACTAGTCCACTTGGCATGAACATCTTGTTTGATGGATACCAGTGCTATATAAATCTACACTATTATTATTATTATTATTATTATTATTGTATTAAAGGCCCATATGTCTTCATAAAGTGTTTATGAGAATTAATATACTTATAATCATATGTATTACATAATACTGTATAATCATTATCGTTTTATTAAATTCTAGATGGTGTACTGTATTGCTGTACCACAGTGGTTGAATTACTTGAGAAACCAAAAGAATTGAACACCGTTTTGTACTTGGTAAACTGTGGTCTTCAATCCATGGAAGAAAAAGCAAAAACAAACTGTATGGGTGCTTCACAGCTCTTTGATAATGAAGAGAACCAGCTTATGTCAATTCTATTACTAGTTGAAGCATGTTTAAATTACACAACCATGAAGAAAGATGTAAATTTAATCAAACGTTTAAGTAAATGTGAACATTTTTTTGTCAATATTGTCAAGGTTTTGTACATTTGTTCTGCTCCAGAAGTCTACAAGAAATGTTTAGATTTATTAAACTTGTACCTTATCATTATGAATAAACACCAGGAACTACAATCTACTAGGACTCTCTTAGTTAAACTGATATCTCTGATGATGGGCAACATGCTTGAGCGAGCACCATATCGTGATGATTATGTCGGATTTGGAGGCTCTGTATTCTCTGATTATTCAAACCTTGCTAACGAATACCATCGAGGTGATTTAGAAATGCTTAAGAAGCTTGCAATGCTGGTTGTTACCAGTTGTGAGTTGAGTCAACAACCAAATATGAACATAGTTCCAGATTTGCAAAATGATGCAATTACAAGTTTGAACAAGCTGTCTTGTGAGCTAAATTCCAAATTGGGGTTTACGTCGAAGACTGTCTGTGATTGGTTGTTTCATCTGTATACTGACCAGGACTCCAGTCTCATTGGCATGATGTTTGCACTCCTGAGAGTATATAATTATTGCACATCAGGCAACAGAAATCCACAGGAGTTGTTTGTGAATAAACTAGATCCCCATGAAATATTCCACAGGTTCTTGAGAACAGTTGCATATGACCATAGTGTTCTGTTAGATCTGCTGATTTCAAATGAAACAGAATTCTTAGCTTATTTTGTGCAGTACCTCCATTCATTAATTGACACCTGGTCGGCGTTCATGGACTACCATTCTAGTATAGAGTTAGCAAGTCAAGCTTTAGGAACAACATCCACCGCAGGGCTTGTAGAGGATATGGGCCACCAAGGAAAAGGGAACAGCACAACAAATAATACTGAAATTGCTGACAAACTCTTGAGATCATCACATAAACCAGAAAAGGTTGTTTCAAATCATAGAGAGGATATAAAAAGAGACCATGATGTTAAAGATGCTTTGGAAAATGTCAGTAATTGTAAGAAGCTAAGATTATCTGATAACAGGCAAACTACTGATATTACTGTTGGTAATATGGGTAGTTCCCCTGACAACACCAGCTGTGCTCCTAAAAGTGGCAGACTTTCTTTAGACAATATAGGTACTCACCAGCATGCTGGTGAGCATTTAAAGAGTGGTCATTTGAAAAGTCTGCATCATCACCCTGATAAAGAGGAGAATGATAGTAATAGTGATGATGATGCAGAAGACGGTGGTAGTGATAGTTCAGCTGCTGATGATGATGTTGATGATAGTGAGTTGACTCCTTCATCCTGCACTTTGGACAAAACAATGACTACCCTAATAAGATTACGACTTGCAATTGAGAGACTCATTCGAAGAGACTTATTCCCATTCCGTGCTGTCTCGCTTCTGCGACTATTGGAGGATGTGGAGGGTCTATATGAAAATTAATTAGCTAAGGACAATCAGGGTGAATGTCCTGCATCATGTCCTCCTTAGCCCCAGTTGAGAAAGAGATCTCATAGACCTCAAAATGTTCACAACTTTAATGAAAACCAGATGAACTTTTCTGAGAATAACAATAGTTTTACAAATAAAAACCATAGATTAAAATATTGTAATTACTGTACTTGATTATTTTTATTGTAAAATATGCAGTACATTATGTTACATAAAAATTTACATTCACATATTGTATTCAAAAGTATATACACATTTTTAGTAGGCCACGTTTGTGTACACATCTCACTATAACACACAGTTTAAATACAATTCAGAAATATGATGAATATCATAACTGTAGCCAGTTACAAGTTTAACTAAAACCAAGTATAAGATAAAAATGACAGAACTTCAGAGGATAACAAAACGAATGGAGTTGAAGCTTGGCAGTTAAGATGCTTGCCTTCCAATCCTAGTATTTTTTCTCATGGCCAAAAACAAGTCCACTCCCTAAGCTTAATATTGAGACAGTTTATGTAGGACACCTTGGCTGTATGAAAGGAATCGGCACCTACTGTATGTTTTAGTGCAGTGAGTAACTTGGCTGTTGGCAGTATATCTGCCTATTAATAGTGTATCTTCAATCCAGGTAGTAGACTTCATCTGTCTCCTGATTATGTAAAGTTCTGTCACTTTCATTGAAAAAATATATCACTTTGACTTGTAAGTTTTAGCATAAGATGACCATATGAAACAAGTGATGTTTCATTCTTAGGGAATCCAAAAATTAATTCTGATATCAATTAAATAAGCTCCTAACATCCCTGAATTGATTGACCATACAAGGCTTCCCCCCTTCAAAAATAAAATAATAATTGCAGATACAGTATAAAAAAAAACTATCTCCTGTAACGATATCTCTTGAATCTAAACCAAAGCTGGAAGATACTGTTACTGAATTGGCAGCGAAAACCATGCCGGTGACTATACTCCCACTCTCTGTTCACAATCTTGAAGGCTATATCCTGTAAGATCACAAAATAAAAAAAAATAATAATAATAATAAAGTTCTTTGTTCACAATCTTGAAGGCTATATCCTGTAAAGGCCAACTCAGACAGCGTCGGCCGACGCAGCCCGACGCGATTTGTTGTCGCGTCGGGTCTGTGTGAGTTGAACGCAGATGCGATGGTGTGCGTCGGGGGCAGTCGCGTAGTAGAATATTAAACGTGTTTAATATTTCTCACGACGGCTAAAGACTGTCCCCGACGATAAATCAGGTCGGGCTGCGTCGACCGACGCTGTCTGAGTTGGCCTTAAGATCACAAAATAAAAAATATTAATAATAATAATAATAAAGTTCTTAACCATTCTGAAATGAACAGAATAAGTGAAACAAGTCTTTTTTTGTAAAAATAATTTTAATGTTGTGAAATCAGGTATATATTAAACTGGTCACTACTATTCATTCACATACAGTATTGGTAAAAGATTGTGTTTATAAATTATCCCAAAATTAAGTGATAAAAGCATTGTTCCACAACATGTGACACCATTTGTTACCAGATTAAAATGCCATGCATACATGTACTTACTGGTTTAAATAAAATGAATAATTATTTAAGTGGACACCTACCTCATATGGTGGTCCAGCATTAAATCGGAGTACACCAAAGTCTTCATTGTCCGGACATGGTGTTACTGTGTACTCTGGTGCATTTCTCTTGTCAATCAAATCTGGGTAAAATATCTGAAAACAATCATCAGTAAAAGTAAATGCAACACCTTTTAAACTAAAATACTAGAAGTTCCAAACGTGTATACTGTTGTAAAACTCAAGTTAATAGTAATTTCAAGACTATTGCATGGGTTATTTGAATATTTGTACTTACATTGAATTTGTATCCTTGAACAACCTTTGGCGGTGGGTTATCCATGTCATAATGTGTCTGGTTATACTTGTTCCATTCAAAACCCTAATTTAAAAATAATATAAAGAATGTAATATCAACATTATTATTTTTAAATACAATACAATATAAAATTAATTATACATAATCATGAAGTATGTAAATTAATTATATTACTGTATATTATAAATTAATGAAGTATATATAGGTCAGACTACAAAGTGTAGGAATCTGAGAAGTCAATATTTCTAAATACAATTGGATGAAGTTAATTAATACTTACTGTGTGAACTCGATTAAAGAAGCGCGGTTTTCTTGGTCGGTATTTGTCAGACCAGAGGTAGGGTTCTTGCTTTTGGATGTCCATCTCAACTGCAAATGTTGCCTCATCAGAACCCATGCCCATGCGAGCCTTCTTAATGAACTCGCTCTCAGCAGTTTCCTGTAAAGATGGCATTTTACTGGTTAAACTTAGCTCAATGAATATTACATCTTTCATTGGGAAAATTATCAACCAAAAAGAACTCATAATACAGTGGCAAATTCAAGGCCTCACCTGCCCCCACCACTTCCGGCCATCTAGAGGTACCATAATCGTAAATGTTATATTACCTCGGCCAAAACTATGGTGGGGCTGATGTTGTATGGAACCTCCACCTGTTAAAGTCCCTCCCTGGGCCCCCTCTATTACAAATTACTGGATCTGCATACTGCAATATATACATATGTCTTGTCCTCCATCACATCCAGAATATATAGAAAATACCATTAGCAACATTAATTTATCGACAGAATTTGCTGTGTCTGTAACTATGGCAACAGATTGTTAGATGTTTTGAAGGTGCCAGTCTAGCCTATTACTAAAAAGGAAGAGATCAAAATAATTACTACTTGCCTTAGCTGAGCCTGTTGTCATTAACCTTTTACGAAGAACTTCTAACTTGGCCATGTCTTCTTCAGGATCAAACAGGATGGTGTCAGGAGGTAGTTCCTTAGTCCTCAGCAGTACTGGTGAGTATCTGCCATCAATGTAGTCATCATGGCTCTGCTGCTGGAGGTCCTCTTCCGTGATTAGCTCTTCTGGTCTAGAAAAGGTAGTTTGAAAGAACATAGTATAACTGTTTCTGGTTTGAATATAATTATAAAATGAGTTTGGCATGATGATATTTTGAGGGGTACAGGAAGTGATGATAATATATATTTATACAGGAGCGGCGCCAGTTGGTGGGGGGGGGGGACCACAATTTGTCAGGGTGAAAAAAAATATGTATTTTGTTCATATTAGTAGACTCTAAAATCGATTAAATAAGCCTTTGAAACCCCTAAATTGTCAAAATATCTCGGACCCCATATCGGGCAAATCCTGACACCACACCTGTTTATATAGCCGATATTGCTCAATGCTTCTATGCACTTTACATGAAAGTTATATAATAGGGGATTAAAAAATAATATGGCTCATCTTATACCATACCTTAAGCCTCAAAATACTTAATTACTAAACTACAGTATAAAGATATTTCACTTGCGATGCTGATCCTTGATGTATATACACAAAATGTCTGGGGTTTTTTTTCCGGAAAAATAATATCACCATAACTCATGCATGACACTGGTAGAAATTTCACTTACTCTTCATCTACTGCTTCATTACTGGCACCAGGCTGGTCTTCTTCCATTCCACCTGATGCTCCTCTTGGTTCCTCCTCCTTGTCATCATAATCATCTTCATCATCTGAATCTGTGAGTTCAATCTCACCACTCCCACTAACCCCAGCCTTACTTGATGTACCAGGTACCCCAGCTGGAAACATAGGTTCACTCTCCACTCCTTGCTGCAAATTCAACACAAAAAATATTTGTTGAAGGTTTTTGCATGGTGATTAACAATTTATAATACAACTCAGGAAAATGGAGTGTTGTATTCTCCAGATGATGGTAACAGAAATCTAACCTACTACATCTAATGTTCTTTTAGAATCATACTTTTTTTTTTCAAATTTTCTAACTGTATTTATTATAGAGTGACACTCTCAACTTATCCCAGAAAGCCAAGTGGTATTCAGGGACCTCCTTAAACAACAGCACCCGCTCACCGGTCCGCGCGTTCCCCCACGCTTAAATACAGTATAAGCGCAGGTTTTTTTGGAACAGCTAATACGAAAGAAAGATGTTTATTTGTACAAAAAAAATTATTATTTAAGAATGTTCATTTGCACAAAATTAAAATACCTGGAAAAAAATAAAATTTCTTAAAATTTCTTTAATTAGAGGGAAACCCATATAGGAATTGATTAGAGTACCTGCTGCCTCAGCATTAGGAGTTTGTTCCTCAACTTGGTCTGATGTCGTTCCTTCAGTCTAGCTCTAGCAATGTAAGCCTTTAAATTCTGAAGTAACGTTTCCCAGTAGCCTATATCAACAGCGCCATCGTCACCATTTAATCGAGAGATGATCTGCTCCTGAAGAAGCACCAGCTGGCTGTGCTGAAAAATTAAATTTGCAAAATGTATCATCAACAAACAAACAACATGAAATGTATATTATATAACCATTGTGCTTTCTACTGTAGAGTCCAGAAATACATCAATTTTTTCACAAACTTTGCCAGAGTCAAAGAATGACATCACAGTGGTAATTGCTTGATTTTAAACTGGTACCCTATGGCTGGATGGATGGCACACTTAACTTAAATCAACAATTCCACTCTGATAATATATGAATGAATGTAAACCATGGCATACTTACTGTTTTTCCTTTGAAAATAACTTCTATTTCTGAGCTAACAGAATTGTTTATTCCTTCCCTTCTATCAGCACCATCTGTAAAAAAAATGTATTTATACAAATATTATTATTATAGTATAAATTTTGTTTCCAATATATTCCAGGTGCAAGTATTGAAAAACTTGTTTCAAAATTGAAGCAACTAAATCTGTGGTGTACCGCCAGCATTTAAAATATTTTTACTTCGCCATGCAAACTTTGAAATAATATTTTTTCCAAAATAATCATCCTAAATAACTTAAAGTACGCATTTTCAAAAATCCATGTTGTTGATGTTGACAATGACGGTATCAGGTCACTTTGATGCCCCTAACTGAAGATGAATGCAATGGGATGTGGGTATTTGATTATCACTATACCAGTTGTGGTGCCAGCGGGGCGACATGGGGGTTAAAAATTTTTTAGAGCTGACCAAAGAAATATGATAAAAAGCAAATGTAATTCATAGTCTAGAGTACACTGAATAACTAACCTTGACATTCTGGGTCAATTTTCTTGAGTTTAGCCAGCTCATCCTCCGTAATTAATGTAATATCTTGCCAATAGTCTACATTCTTCTTTTCGTCTAACTTCATGTATATATCAATATCTGCTAGCAAATGTTCCAGATCTGAGATTGTCAAACCCTACAACAGAAAACACATTGTGTTCACTCAATTGTGTTCATTATCAGGAAAATATAATTATGGATAAAGTGTATATAGTTTTGTTTCATTTATCTATTATGTTTCAAATACAAAAGAAATAACATACCATGGTGAATAAATTCAATGTTCAAGTTTAAAGGATTGTCATGGAGTATAATATTATGACTTGGAGGCACTTTGGAGTTGTGGAAATTGTTTGTTTTCCCAACATCGAGGTCAGGGTTTCAGTGTTCACTGTGCATTTTACTTGTATCCTTATTAAACAAGGCACTTTCTTTTAGCTGTAAATGGGTACCTGCGAATTGGTGGGAAGTAACCTGCGGTGGACCAGCGTCCCACCTAGGGGGAGCATCACACTCTCATCTGCTTCACTTTCTTTTCGTGGGGATAAGCTCTGGCCCTATGAGCCCCGTGGCTCCGCAAGGATTTACTATAATATCATGAATTTTTTTTTAAATTTCTAATTTGGGTAGGCAAATGCCATAGATTGGTGCGAGAGTTACTATCAATCAACAGAAAGGTCTGACTGGCTGAATAATACTGTATAAATATTAAAAATGAATAACAAATAATAATTAAAAAAAAATGAGACATATGGAACTCACCATTAGAATTTTATATGGCTCTTGAATTTCAAGAGAAAAATCACCATCATCATCTTCTGCTATGTATTGAGCAAGCAAGTCAATTGGCTTAGCTGGAAATATAGGTCATTCATTAATATTATTATAAAATATTGTATTACTTTTATTATTAATGTTGTTATTTTTGCTATTATATCATTACTACCGCCACACCATAAACTTACAAGTCACTGTGAATGGGTGAATAACCACTCACCTCATTTCACATTACAGTAATATCAATGGCCAATTGTCTTAATTAATAACTGTTACAATAATTCTATTGTTTCTAGCATCATATTTTTCAAAACAGAATTCCATATGGACTGCAGTCTAATTAGGCCAAATAAAAAGATTTATTTTGTTGGCCACACCCGACCGACACAAAATGTACGAAATTGAGGTTCGGCATTTTAGTTTTTTTTTATTACAACAAAAAATATTTTTTCAATGAGCTAAAAAGGCCAGAATAGACCTATCTTGCTGGGCGGTAGGCGATGCGACAGTGTTATGCGATAGTTTTGCTTTTTAATATAGATTTAAAAATGGTCTTTGTTGTATTTGTGTGTATTTTCTACTAGGCATAAACACATTATTGCTTTAAAAAAAAACCTTTTTCTACCGACCTACCCATTTTTTTGGATTTTCCCAAAATGTGGCCAACAGAAGAGTTGTTTTTTTTTTTGTTTTTTTTTTGGCCTTATACTGAAGTTTACACAGAAATTATTCATAATGCGTTAATCATCCAAATTGCCATACCTCTTCCATCTTTAATTCTTATACTGGATCTAAGTTTGGCTTGCTGAAGATGAAACTGTAAAATAATATATTAGTAAAATGTAAAAAACATTGCAATTTATTATCCATATAATTTATTTTAACGACACATACGCAAAATAAAACCAACTCAATAACAAATGATCATACAATAGTTGCAATCATCCTGTATTAGATCACCTACATTGTCTTCCTGTTGTTCCCACTCTTTGAAAGATTCAGCCTCTCGCTGTCTCTGCAATAATTCCTGAAATATTTACAAACAGAAAACAATTAACATCGCGACGAGATTTGATTGACAGATAAACCGACTAATCAGCGAGCATTATTAAGTCAGGTGATCAAAAACTTTTTCTCGGACATTTTAATTTCCTTAGATAGCTGGTTTGAACGCGAAACATACGTGAGCCTAGGCCTAGATATCTATGCTTGGTTATAGATACCCAGATTTACACGAGCAGTGCGCATCAGTGACTTGGCCTTTTGCCGACAACACGGTTGACTGAATGCAGCTTTTCCCTCTTCCTTTGGGAGTGAAATACAGAGGCTTTTACAACAATTTCCTCGCCATGTTCCATGACACAGATTAATACTATAAATATATGATTCATTTGCATATCGCCTACCCTGAATTCTCTTTCTAAAAGAAGGTTGATAGCAAAGAAAATCTTCGCCAACTCAGTAAGTCTAGCCGCCATTGTCTAAGGTTTTCGTGACTTTGTGGGCGGGGCTTCGCGTCCTTGTCGACATGTCAATTATAAGATACATAAATTAACAAAAATTATAAGATTAACAACAATAAAAACAGTTATGTGCACATATTTTTCTGTTAAGTGTCCCTCTGAACAACAATAATGACATACAAGGCCAAACTGGTATATTGTATATTATGCAGTCACTTTGTACAGACCTTTAAGTAGTAATACATACAAATTATCAGTAGAATAGTGTTTTATAACTAAACAGATCATGACAATTTTATATGATAAAATATAATGACATTGATAAAAAAAAAAAAAAAAAAAATAACATTTACCATTTCTTTTTCTCTTTCTTCTCTTTCCTTTTCTCTTTCTAATCTTCTTTGTTTAACCTTCTGTAGTTCAAGCTGAATATTAAAAATGTTTGAAATGAGATATTGCAAATGAAAATAGTAACTACACATTCACATATTAAGAAATAAGGAGAAAATAATAATAGTACCGGTGTAACAGTATTTTAATAGTTTTGCCCCTCTAATTCAAGACCACCTTTGGAACCTGAAAATGTGGGGTGGTATCGGAGCTTAGTCTCCACTTTGAGGGTTTGAAGATTGGTACAGTATTTGGTTCTTTGAATAAAAGGTCTCGGAATTAGAAGGATCTCGAATTGGAGGGCGCACTATAATAGGTTTAATAATGAGAACAAGAACAGAGTGCCAATGTGTAGAGTGGAGCTGTGGCATGGGAAAGAATAGCACTGTACTTTGGTCATTAAAATGCTTGCCTCAACATCTAAAGGTTCTGTGTTCAAATCCAGTAATTTATCACAATTGACTTAACCATCACGGTCAAAAGAAATATGCTTGTCTTACCCTATTTTCAACTTGTTTATGTCGACTTAGTTTCTTAATTACATTTGCATCTGCATCTTTCAATCCAAGTTTAGCATTTTTCTAGGAGAAGAAAATAATTTGTTAAAATTTTAAATTAAAATGTAGGAAATAAGTCAATTAGCAATAATCATTTCTCATTGGATGACGGTCCACCAGAAATCATACCCATCAGGATGAAAGTATATGTGAATTTAATCATATTTTAATTTAATTTTAAATATCACTTCGCTATATTATATACTACAATTAAAACCATAACAATTAAACATTTCTTTTGTGTCTACATATCATGGAGATATCACATTTACCATTTAATATGGCAATGCGACACCAAACTACAGGTTGTATTGTAGCTGTAGAAAACTAAGGGTGTGCCGTTGATATTTTTTAAGGGTGGATGGGTTTATAGCATTAGTAAAATCTAAGTAATAAGAGTGGATTTTAAGGATGGGCAAGAGCGTTAATAAAGGTGGGTAGAGGGCCATGAAATTAGCTTTACACTGAGTGGCCCCATCCAACATAACTACATTCCTGAAACCGGATACTCCCCTTGAAAAGATTTTCTCAGGAGGCATATTATGCAATTGAATACTAACAATGATTTTATAATAATAAGAATCATGAATGTAGACATTGCATAATATAAATTGTAAGGTCACCTTATGCCAGCAGAACGTTTCTAATAGATTAGGATCAGCAAAAGGATTGTCTTGGTTGGTATATCCCTGAAAAAATAAAAAGTAAATCAATATTCATGACAAATTATCATCTTAAGTCACATTTTTTCACAGTACAGTATCTGTAAAGCAGAAAATACATTGTTATAAAGGCAAAAAAATCATTGATTTATAATTTCACAAATTATAAATCAAATACATTAATTAATTAAAGGATGGAACCATGCTTACTACAGGTTAGGAAATAGAGTTAATTTCAGTTTCATCCATTTAAAGATGAAGCAATGTAGCTTAGATTTTAAATTTACATTTTTTGATATAATTAAGAGGGCCCCTGAATATCAGCTGACATTTTGGAATAAACTGGAAGAGTCAGCATTGTGAAATATTGTTTCAGTCTCTGTGAGTAACAACCCTGGTGATTTACGTGCTATTATATCCCCCGCAGGCTTACTGCAGTCTTGTTTACATGTTTAGTTCTTGGGTATAATGACCCTAACAAACTTGACTCAATTTAAGCTAGGTTTCCATAGAATCGTACAGCGTGTTCACTGCAATACTTGCACTGCGTAGCTGTCACCTGACTGTCACCTGACGCAATCCTGAAGGCTCAGTGAATCAACTGACCAACCAGCATCGCCAAGAGTCGGCGATAGTGTGTAGCGATTTTTATGGCAACCAGGCTTTAGTGTTCAAGTAGGTAGGCTTATATCCGAGAAATTATGATCCAGATAACTACCAGTCTATTCTGCGTACAATAAATGGGATACATCTTGATAATTGATTAAAGCTATTATAACAAATGTGCTGAACTACCTTAATTTAAATTTAATTGAGCAGATTAAAAAAATGTATATTACCATCATTTCTTTATCCCATCCCATTTGTTCTTTTCTTTTCCTTTCTTTGGCTAACTTTTTTTCTTGTCTTCTTGCCCTCTTCTCTTCTGGAGTTTCAAGGGCCTTCATCATCATTTTTTGTTTCCTGGTAAATATGAATTCAAACACACCCATTACTTTTTTTTTTTTTTCTGGTAAATAATGTTAATATGCAATTTAAACATGTGTTGAAACATCTTTTTCGATTATCATATATAATGTTAACTTTCAGGGGCACTGAGATAGAAGTAAATGATGGAAGCTCCGAAGGCTAAAACGTCGTCTGACACGATTCTTTTTACCTCAGATTAATTTTACTTATCCAATTGTGAGTCCCTACAGAGCCATTCTTTGTGCATGTTGGTATTATCATTTATTTTTTCAGATGACATTCTATACCTTTTCTCTTCCTTGGTCATTTCCTTTGATCTTGGAGGACTTGTCACCCTCCTTTCCTTTGAACGAGCCCGGTGTTTGTGTTGCCTTCTGTCTGGAGAATTTGACTCAGAGCGGCGTGGCTGCTTTCTGCGCCTGCTATCAGGACTGCTGCTACTACTACTTTCGTCACTTGATCTTTATTGGTCAAAATCATACCAATGGAAGAAAAGTTGTATTTATTAAATGTTGCATTTCAAGTATTTATATAATAAAGTTTAGACTTCAAAAGAAAATAATAACTCTCAAAATCTGGCATGAATGACAAAAGTAGATAATTACATTTTTAGTGCTTTCAGATGGGTCCTATGTTCCTATAGATTCCATGATTGATTTCCATGGTTTAAAGCTGAAGGCCATCTTGGCCAAACAGAACAATTATTATTTTACAAGTACAGTAGTCACATATATTAACGTCGGGGTAGTAGCTGAAGAAAACTAAAGTTTTGATGATGGGTGCGTGATAACATTTTAAAACTCTAAATAATAAGAGTGGATTTCTAATTAATTAGAGTGGATTTTAAAGATGGGAAAGCGTGTTTGAAATTAGCTTACTGGGTGGAAAACTTCAAGAAGGCTGGGTGGTCCCGCCCATCTGCGCTTACTACATCACTATCAGTGTCAAGTATGTTCAATTTGACAAAAATTAAATAAATATCAATAATAATATTAATAATATATTATTTACTAATTGACATTAAAGATATGCAACAATGTCTAAAAATAACTTTACTAAAAGGAAAACATTATTATTTCATTGATTTATTCATTTTTACTGTACTACACATTTATCATTAAACCTCAGTTTCTCATGTAGAAACACTCTGGGCTAGGCCTTAGCTAATTGTTGTGTGATTCAGGCATAAGATAATATTATTATGCTTCCCCCACTTGCCCATCGTAGGGCCTAGGCTAGACATAATTATTAATCAAACAAGATTAACTCCATCCTGATTAACTCCATCCAGGCCCCTTCCTTACTAGCTAGCTGATGAAATGTTAACCACCCACCACATTTTTGATTTTATTATCATTTCCAGTTAAATTTCCAAATGTGTAAGATAGGATCACTTCCTTCATAATTGTATAAAGGGAAGGCAAACGGATTTGCACAGTAACAAGGCCGATATGGGCCTACTCCCATAATAACATAAGAGTAAGGCCTACTAAAATAATAACTAAACTAGGCCTAGGCCTACTATTCACCTACCTGTGTCGTCGTTTTTTCGGCTTTTTGTCACGTCTTCGTTCATCTCTTTCCCTTGAACGTGATCTGTGCTTCTTACTTTTCTTTTCACTTTTACCCATATCTGGTTAATTAAAGGCCTTTTGCCCAAAAATCAAAATTGGTGAAACTACACAGTACAGATAAGCGTCGTCGTAACGTAGTGTGTTACTGCTGTACTTTTAAACGTGAAAAACGCCACCAACGTTTGTGTCTGCCAATTCCCTTCCCATCATCCATTAAACATCCTTTTTTTGAGCCAGCCCTCAATTATGGTAAATATGTAAAAATATTGTATATAAAAATCCACTAAATCTCTATTTTTCGAGGTTCATCGATTTGATATAAGTAATCCATCTAACTATTCTATTGTTTTGCAAACTATATGAATTTTTAGAATTTGCATCAAAATATTACTGACAATAATATATGTACTTATAAATTCAGCTTTAATCATTGGAGTTGTTTTTATTCTGGGCTTAGCCTTATCATGGATAGCTCCATGGCCTTATTAGGTTCATATCTTATTCTACTCTCCTTTTAATTATTACAAATTGCTGTTTATTCAGTAAATGGTAAAGCGGTCGCTGATTTTATTTTTGTACATTTCACAATGTATATTCATTTTGGTGACTGTTCCACTACCTAGCCTCCTACTACTAGGCCTAGGCCTGCCCACACACACATGATTTTAAATTGAACGCCACTCGGCAGGGCAAGAGCCGAATTTCTTCGTAAGCCGACACAATTAAGAAAGGTTAAGAAAGTAGACTGTAGGCCTAAGTTAGGAGAGATACTTACTGAAGGCACTAGGCCTAGGCCTCTAACAACTCCCTGTGCTGATTTGGCGTTAATGCACTTAATGTAAATAAATATGGTCTGCGCAGGGTTCCACACAAAATCAGGGCTACAATAGGCCTAGGCCTAGCCCTGTCTCTTATACACATCTAGATGTGTATAAGAGACAGCCTTTGGAACCTGAAAATGTGGGGTGG